TCAGCGGGTAACTTCTTTAAGCAGATCAACAGGAAGCAAAGAGGATCCATGTGGCGGATGAAGCGAGAAGTCTTCTTCCCTCCGCGGCGCCTCTCCCTCCCGACACAATGATCTGGGCTCAGTGGCGGACCTAATGGAGAGCTAATCATGTTATCCGGGCTGCTGTTTGTGTGTGGGGAGTCTCTCTCCTCAGTCTGTGTGAGTCTCTCTCATCGGAGTGTGTGGAGTCTCTCTCCTCAGTGTGTGTGTGAGTCTCTCTCCTCTGTGTGAGCCGGAGCGACACTCCCTCTCTTTATAGCTCGCACGCTGCAAAAAGTGTCTCGCTGCGGGGGTCACTGCGCGTTCACTGAGTGACAACAGACATGTGTGTGTGATAACAACACTCATAATAATAATAATCCCGGAAGTTTTCAGTAGGTCAGGAATTATAGGTAAAAAACTGCATTAAAAAAATGAATGGAAATGTGTTTACTTAATTAATGCATACACGTGAACATACAACAATATAGGTGTTGGACTAAAAATATGCAATGCAAGCATCATTATTATATTTTTTAACTATACTTATACAAATAATACATTAACAAATAATAGATGAGCACTTATAATAATAAATGCCACATAATCTGGATGATACAAATAAATTGCCTTTAATCATTATGTCGCCATTGTTCAGTTAAGTGGCATTTTAAGTAGTTTTTGTTGTAATCGTTTGCATGAGTCTTTCTGTTATTGTCTTTCTATTCTTCTGCCATTGTTTGCCATAGACTTTTATTATGATCATATAGATTAAATAATAAAAGGAGGTCTTATCGTGGTCATGGCAAGTTTTCTGAACACAGAGGCACATCAACATGCTTATCTTATCTTATCTTTAGAGGATGACAAAAAGTTACATTCAAAGACACAGGCAAAACATATTGAAAAAGCAGTAGAAAAATTATGGTAGAAAACAACTTTTTTTTTCTTACACTATCTTTTATATTTGTAATTTCAAACAGTTTCTGACTCTGAACTGAAACAGTAAACACACGTTGAGAGACGTATAGAGAACAGATTGTTTTTACAGAGTAAAGTGCAGCCCCTGCAGTGATGGACATTTCTTGCAGTGCAGCTGTAGACTCCGTTGCTAAGCAGCAGCCAGAGCCACACCACGTGGATGTCAACAGCGATTTATGACTTTGTCCAAACTGATCAATTTAGCCAACTTTCACACGTCATGTCCAACATGAGGGAGTCCCCGAGCTTAGTGAGGAGCAGACTGATTCACAGACCTGGGAGGCTGATGGGGATTTTCAAATAAACATCTGGCCAGGTGTTTACAGATGTGATTTGGGAGCAGTGATGCAGACAGGTGCAGGCTATTAGTCAGCCTCACTGTAGGGCCGAGTACAACAAATGATTTACCTATTTTTTAGGGAGATTTGGAGCTTCCTTTTGTGTTTTTTGTTAATTTGCGGTCTTAACATTCCCTAAATGTGCATGTTGGCCATACCTGCACATTTGTGGATCTGGGGATAATTATAAAATATGTGTTTACCATATATTTTATAATTATAAATACATTTTATTAAGCACCTTGTGTCTTAAGACTTTTGTGTCTTAGGAACAGCTGAAGATGCCTTACATGATGTGTTATTTTTTGGGATATATGATAGTACAGCCAAAGAAAGTCAAGAAAGGGGTAGAGAGGATGATATGAGGCAAAGGTCAGCAGGCCGGACTTGAACCCGGGCCATTGCGGTTAGGACTGAAGACAACCTGTGTCAGTTAGCTGTTTATTTAGATGGCATTGAGCTGTCAGAGCAATCATGTCCGTGAAAAACAAACTCCATCTGGTTTACTTTCTCCACGTTCATGAGGTGTGGCATGGGATGGCAGACATGCACCAATTCACTCTTCAAAACAAGTTTTTACAGTAACAGTGTTTTTCAGTGGATGGATTCATTGGATTAACACTAGCTATCGGATAAATCTTAAATACACAAGCAGCAAGATAATGTGTTTACAGAGAATGTACTTACGAAAAAGTATTTTAACTCATGAACAGTTTTATCAGTGATAACAACTAGCCTATGTGCCATACTAATAAAGAAATGTTGAATGCCACAATGTCACAAATAGTAACTTTGAAATTCTAATTTTTAAAACACAAAATTGCAGAAAGTACAGAATATGCTGATACTAAATTGGACCCTTATTCCTTTATTTTTTGTGGATAGAGTACACTGATGGTTATTGATGTGTCATTTCAACAAATAAACAAAAAGGAAACCACACTTCTTCAGATTTCATGCATCAGGGGATTCATCATCATCCAAACTCTCAGTCTTCCTGGAACTGAGGCCCCATCTTACCACAAAAGCTCTCACTCTCAGTCGTACAATTCGATGTGCTGTTTGGGCTCCACTTCTGTGGTGCATTTAAGATCACTCTGGGAGGAGGAAATTCCAGAGGAACTGTGGGAGGAGGACACGGCGTACACTGGTCGTCATCTTCCTGTGCTGGACGTGCTGTACACGACTCAGTGTTGTGCACTGCATCAAAGTGCACTCGTGTTCTGTAATGACATTGAATCAAATGTTTCTGTCCACATGTGTGTCCTGTCACAGTCCAACCTAATACATTTGCAACATTTCTAAAGGAGATTTAATCGTGACCACTGCAGGTGTTACTGCTGCTCGCTCTGTTTGTAGAGGAAGAATTTTCACAATCTGAGATTCAGACCAGAGGGATGCACTTACTTCTGTTTGGTTCTATTTCTTAAAAGCATGTTAGCTTCAAATAATGAAGTATTACATTTATCTACTTTTTTATATATTTATGAGTCTGTGATGTTACATGTACTCTGATGTTTTTGTTCAATCTCTTTTCAATATTCAATATGCTGTTGTGCTGTAAGTATAAAGTTGCTTTTAAATAGATTTTATGAATAATACGAAGAAAAGAGTCAGCTTTTTAGATGTTGAGTGCAATTTCTACTTCCACTTTGGAAACTCTTCACTTAATAGGTCCTTTCTTTCCAAATAACTTGCAAGATGTTTCCTGGAAAAATATACTGGTAAGTCATTTGTTGTTTATTATACACAAAATAAGGATGTGTTCAGTTGAGACATTTATATTTTCCAATGAACTGTCAATAAATACTAGTTTACTTTGTCAATTGATTATGGAGTTTTTCTTTCAATGAAATTCATATTTTTCCTATAATTCGTCCTTCTAGGAAACTTGGGACATAATAATAAAATAAAACCAGTAAAATAACGCCTAAACTATAACTCTTATATAGCCCAGTGTATATCATATAATATTATATATCTCTGGGGGTTACTGTAATTTTGTTATTTAAAACATTGTATAATGACTTTTTTACTTTACATTTTGAGTTGTATGAATAGTTTTACACAATAACTACGACAGTGTGAGATGTAGATATTGCTTAAAGTGCTGTGTGTGTGTGTGTGTGTGTGTGTGTGTGTGTGTGCGTGCGTGCGTGCGTGCGTGCGTGCGTGTGTGTGTGTAAGAGCGTGACTGTTCCCGTTCTCTCCGACTGATATATGGACTTTTAAAATCTGTATTTGACATGCATTAACACTTGGCATGCAATAATATACTAATGGAGCATTTGGACAAAAGCTATGTGTGAATGTGTGAGGCTTTTAACGGGGACTGACTGTGAATATGCAAAGCACCCACCTGTGAGACAATGTTCATTTAATCGTTTTGATAATCCCGTCTTTCCAGGCTGTGGAGAGAACCGAGCCTGCTCACTGTTTTGGGGTAAACAGCACTTTGTCGTGGCGCTGCCGGTGCATGAGGGCGAAGAGGATGCGCAAGGATACAGTGACACCTGTCGTCTCCTGCAAGAGCCTCCCGGTACTAGAAGGATAAAGCAAAACTCTTTACAGGTATATGACAATGTAAAGGACAAAGAATTTGATGTTAGTGCGCTCAGGTTTTTTTTAATTTTGTAACTCACCTACCTTTCTTTTACACAAGATTTTGCTTAGATAGAGCCCCTTTGGCGACAAGGGCGGGAAAACAGGTGGGGAGATAAATCCGCAGCTGCACACAGTTTAATAAGGACACAATTTAAAATGTTAGACTTTATTTGCCTGACAAATGTTTCTTCCGATGGTAGTGTTATAATGTTAATTTAGACTAATATAGTGGGCAAAGCTCTCAGTATTAGAGAACGGTACGGCTCAATAATAGTTAGACATTAATGTACCAGCAGGGGGCCGTGTTGCACTGGATCAGAGACACCAGCTCAGTATACAGCCACTAAAATAAAAACTAACAGAATAAATATTTAAACTCTGTGTCCCACTTCTCTTGAAATCATATTTAATATGTGATATAGGAAGATGAAAAAGTTAAAACATGGTGTAGAACAGGATTATCAACGGAAAGAGTTACCTGCTGTATGACCAGGTTTGAAAAGAGGAGCAAAAAGGACAAGTATACAGGACACACGTTATATTGTAGGATTGTTGAAATGTTTTGATTTTATATGAATATGTCTGGGAACATGCAGCAGTTTCTTTTTTTGAAAAGTCAAATTTGTTTTCAAGAGCTTCCGTATATGTAAACCAGTGTCTCCAAATCAATGCAGCATTGTAATACTACACTGGTCGAGTAGGACATCCTTTTTATTGGATTTTAGTTTTTCTTTAGAATAATTGTCAGACTCAATCTTACATTTATCGTTTGTACGTTTTTCATTATACTTTGAAATAATTGTTTCTCCACTGGAAATGTAAGGACCGCTAACTAAGAATTGAAACTGTGAATCTATCCTCTGAGGTTTATCACAAAAAGCTTTGATGATTTTTTTTGTATGGGTCAAAATGCTTTCTAAAGGGGAAAAATCAAAAGCACTAAAATCCTTTCGTGATAAAATTATTATACTTTTTAATAAAATATCTACCTAATATCTGTCAAAATATAAATGTTACTTGTTCTCTTTTTATCGAAATTAACAGACCCGCAACGCATCATAAATTTGTAAATATGTATCGGTTTATTACAGTTAAAAAGATGTATGTACATACAGAACATCACCAAACATGGTAATTTTCACTCATTTGCAAAGTAGCACTCTGCAATAGTTGGTTTCAGGATAACTGTCTTACAATGGGGCGGCATTGATAGAGTTTGTCATTTACAACCAAGCACACAATTTTCCTCTTTCATTTGCCAAATAATACTTGTATAGGCGTAAAACCAAAATAAAACAGAAGGATGCCAAGTAAAACAAATTGTGGTTGAATTGCTAGTCCAAATCCAAATTCCTGCTGCCAACACGCAACTTTGTATGTACACAGGTAGAAACACCTCAAACTGGATCTTGGTCGCTGTGGTTAGCAATGAAGACTCGCATAGAGGTAGTCATGTCTGCATCTGCTCGTCCAGTCAAGAGACAACTGACACAAAACCTTTGCTTTCAACATCTGTTCAATCTGTAGACCCAGATCCCTTTACTGACATTAAAGAAAGAAAAGAAGAAAAGAGATTATCTGTCTTTGTTGTTTAAATCAAATTGTCATCAAAGTTTTGCTTGGTGCGCATAAGGCAGTCAAGAAAAAGTATGGAGATACAATAGAGGGGGTACTGGCGGCTTCCCATTAAAAGGGCCTTTCCACCAAAAGTGACTTGGTTTAATTACAAAAAGCAGATGTTTATTTAGTAATGTGTAGTAACTTTTACTTCCCTTGATCTTTATTACTCAAACCTGATATGACTTGCTAGGAAAACATAAATCCTGTTAACTTCTGGTGAAAAAGTTTACCTTTGCAGAATAATTGCAAGCCAGTTTTGGTGGAATTCCTCTTTAATGCCAAAGACAAGTGAGACGCAAGCTAATGCAAATTCACTTGGTAGCATAATGGCATTATCTTCCATTGCAATGTCTCTTTGTAAAACTCTCATCACATTACACATTTTGTAATACTGAGTCTACCGTAATGTCAGATTACTGTACAGAGTAAAAGGAAAAAAATAAGACAGAAAGAAACTAGACCCAAATTTACATTGTAACAACCAGTTGCTTGTCATCAAGTACAGTCAGTGGCCATAGACACAAGAAATAGCCAAACAAACACATAAAAAGGACCATTAAGGCTGCTTGTCAATGTAGATTAAGTAGGATAAGCATTGCCACACAATGCTTCGATACCCTTTGCAATATACAAAAAGGGAGCATTTGCAGATACACCAAATAGCCACTAAATCCAAGTCCTATATGCAAAAAACGCCCGATTCTGACCCAGACAAATGTGTTCAACATGCTTGTTTCCTGTACAAAATAACCAGGCAAAAAAAGGACATGATCCCGAATAAAAAGCAAAATGAGAGAAATTACTTTGATCTGCGATGCTTTCCACTGCCTAAAAATCAGACGATAGAAAAATAAACACCAATTATACTCCAAATATTTTGGATGCACCAGTATGCAATAAGTTGTCATCATTTTGATCTAACAAGTCAAAACTGAAACTGAACGTGCTAGTCGGTGATCTCCGTCTCCTACACAGCACATTAAAACTACATTCCAGGATCTGATAAATGCTCTCCAGTCCATTAGCCTAGTTCAGTTTGTGCCCCACCTCCCATCATCCTCTGCATCTTCATACACAGGCCTCCTCAACCTTGCAAAATGGCACATGATAAAACGCAAAAACCACAGACTGAATGTAAAAATGGGTCACAGCACTCTCGCTGCTTACCTAATGCACGTCTCACTTTTGAGTACACGTTGAAGGCATTTTTCACACAATTGTTTACAGCTAAAAGTAAATACACAAAAAAAAAACTTCCAAAGCTTGTATAGAAAACCCAGGAATGCAATGCCTCCGGTGTGTTGTTGAGCGTAAACACAGAAAGCCCTTTTTACAATTTGTTGTTGTCTTTTCCGACAGTCTTGTACTGTAACTGCGTATAGCTCAAATATGCACCTTGTTGTGTCGTATCATCGTTGTTTCCGAACGATTTGATCTGTGAGAAAAGCCACCGGGCCTGACACCAAATCAAAACGGTCAGTGGATTTGTTCCTCGTCAGGTTTTCGAGTGAAGTCTGTATCAGTGTTGGGAGTGGACCGCTCCCCGCCTCCTGCCCCCCCGTGTTGTACAGCATATGTTTCAGTCCACGAAAGCAGCAACAGATTCTGCTGGTAAATCAGAAGCAGCGGCACATCGCTCCCCACCCGAGAGGAGACGAGCCACAGCCAAGTAAAACACACCAAGCTGCTGCAAAAAGTAGACCCACACGTTTCAATACAAAAAAGAATCATGATTGAATATAGAGCAGGGATGCAACACGTTTTCATAAAGAAAAAAAAGTTTGGTTTGATTACCTTTTTGTTGGGATTTTTAATGTACAGTCACTTGAAATAATACTAACTAAATACACATTTCATCATTTAGAAAAAAGAAAACACTCAATGCAAATTGATTTCAAATAAACAATGCTGATCTGAAATGCAGTAAGCCTTCACTTGCAATGGAGAAAGCAGGATATGGGAATCTTAAGACATCTCATAGCCACACAGACCCTTTTAAGATTGACAGGATACAACTTCCCCAAAGGAAGTTACTAGTATATTCTGAGCCCGCTAAACTTAACATTTATGTTCAATTGATACAAATTTACATGATAAACCGTTATTTAAAACAGATAAAATACTTTATGAAACAAAATGCCCCCATTCAAAATAACCAATGAGAGGCTACTGTGTGTTTGTTTTTTTTAATATAGAGGATGCCAATGTCTTTTTAAAAAAGTGCATAAGAGCAGCAGCATTGCTGGGACAGTGTGGGACAAAAGAAGATATTTAAGAAAAAAATATATATAATTACATAAGGAATCTAAATCAAGGGAACATTTTCCATCATGTAATTAAGATTTGTATGCGACCGTGTCAAAAACAAAAAAAATACTGAGGAATTAAGGATATTACCAATAGGAAGTGTTACCTGTCAATGATTTATTATCAAACTGTTTTGAAGCTCTGATACACTCACCACAGCGCAAGAGACCAAGATAAAGTATTTTTCAAAATGCTTGATATGTTGGTCAATGATCAATTGAATGATAGCTATGCAGCCCAACACTGAAGATAATATCAAACCAGTAAACAGAACTAAAATTGCACTCAAGGCAACAACCAGGATTTGTATACATGTATAAAACATCTTGTCATTTATCCCATCACCTCTGTAGGTTTGACTTTTTTCCAAATAACTTTTTGTCACAAAAGCAATATTGACGGGGGTCGGAGCACCACCCGCACGGGAGAAAAGTCCATCTTGCTTCTTTTTTTTCAAGCATTTATGATTGGCATTTCTCATATGTATACGTTACTAGCTTAATGTTTAACAACTGCTGCTGTTATTTGTTAAAAAGATCTCCAATTACCCTATTTGACTAATTATATCACTTGCTTTAACAGATTGATGTTACAGCAAAAAACCCAATTAAAAAAAAAGTAAAACTAACTTAAAAACAGCTGTAATAAAAAATGAATTATTGAAATAATTTATATCTTTGTATTCTCATGGACAATTGTGTCTAGAAATGAACCACTGGATCACTCTAAACATAGGCACAGTTTTTGAAAATAAACAAAAACAGGTAAAAAAAGAAAATACAAAAAGATATTATAAACATGCCATCATTAGATCTTTGTTCTCTGTGGTCAAGAAGCAGTTAACATAAGTTATCTGGAGCGAAGGTGATGTAAAAAAAAGTGAATATCAAAAGAAAATATAACAAGATGACGACGTTAAAATTACAGCAGCAGCAGTAAATGTTCCAAAGACTTTTTTTGTTTGTTTTTGCATACAATTGTATCCTTGCTCACATAATAGATGCGTGTAATTACTGTAAATACATTGGCAATGGGAGCACGGTTTATATGGTTAAAAGACTTGCCACTTAGCTCACAGTTACTCAATATATATAACTTTATATATCTTCAGTTTTGGCAAAGAGATGGAACATTTTCCTCTGATAGGGAATGAAACATGAGCAGGGGTGGCCGGGGTCCGAAAATGACCGTGATAAACTCTGGAGTAAAACAGAAGTCAAGTCTGACGATTCGCCCCGTTTCTGCCCGAGGATGGTGAAAGAAACATCATCTTGTTCTCCCTCTTCCTCCATGTGTTTGCCCCCGACACTGATTGTGGCGAGTCGGTTTTCTTTACAGTGTATGATACACTTAATGGGGGCGGGCAGGCGAGAGGGTGCAGAGCAAGTGGAGGGTTTGGAGTTAAGTAGGACTGGGAGTGAGCTGCTGTCGGCTCAGACCATGGCACGGTACGGTCCCTGCATCTTGAGGAACTGGATGATGAAGGAGGGGCCCCCTGCGACAATCTGGGGCGGCAGGTGGTTGAGGGGACAGTTCTCGATGCTCATGATGGACAGCTTGCTGCAGAGGGCCAGCTCGAACGGGAGGCTGCGCAGGTTGGGGTTGTCGTTGAGGTACAGCTCCTCCAGGTTCTCCAGTGTACCTGAGGACAGACGTGACATTTAGAGGAGGCATGAACCGAAGCTGGTGCTGTCATCAAGGGAGGAGGGTCTGAGAGCCTCGAAGCAATGAATACAATTAGATATTTGGGGATCAAAGTGTCCTTTGTTCAAATAAAATAAAATCACTTTGTTATTGTTGGGAAAATACTGGATGTACTCTTCCAATATCAGAGTAGCACATGATAACAAAGGCCCAACTGTAGCTGCGTAGATGTCAGGATGTATGATTACCTAGAAGAGCATCAGGACACACTGTTTTAGGCATATGATAGCCATGTGACAACGACTAACATGATGATTCAGCCTCTATGGAGATATGACAAGCATGATCATTTCTGACGTTTCAACACATATGAAACAGTAATACATCCTGATGTATCACAGGGCTATAGGATAACAAAACGCACAAATGTGTCTTCTAAAATAAAACACATCATTTGTACTATTAGAGTATAATTTCTTCAGCGCATAATGTAATAGAGTTTGTTTTTAACGATAAAGTATTAGTGATGACGTTCATACATGTCATACAGTCAAACTAAACATTTATTCAGATTAGGGCTGTGCAATTAATCGTATTTTAATCTCGATTTTGGCTTGCAACGATTACGAAAACAACGTAATGGAAATAAAACAATTTTTTTTTTTTTTAAATAATTGGTTTTATTGGTTTTCAGTTATATTATACTTAAGGTTCAGGGTAATGGATCATCGTTTTTAATAATCGTGATATCAATTATTGACCAAAATAATCGTGATTATGATGTTTTCCATAATCTCACAGCCCTAATTCAGATGCATTTGCTTCCTCTGGAATCCAGTCTGAAAACTCTAAAAATACACCCTCCTTCAGCTACTTTCTCCACCCGTTTTAATCTCTGGCTAAACTCTTAACCTCAGCGGTCACCAGCCAATCACACGCAGGAAGGGTCAAAGGTGGGACACACTGTTAAGCTCTCAAATCCGATTGTTTCCTTGAAAAAAGATAAACTTAACCAAAGTCACACTTTAAATAAGATCCCCTTATAAAATCAAAACGGCTCCACCTGTTAAAAATCTGCTCAAAGATTGTTGGTCAACCCTGTCAGAGACTCTATGACTCAGCCTATCATAATAACCTAGTGAGGCTGTCCAACAACATCATCTCTGACCCAAACCATGTTCTGAACAGTGAATATGATCTTCTACCATCTAATCGGAGATACAGGGTCCCACGATTCAATAAGGTCAGACTGAAGCACTCCTTTGTGCATCAGTCAATCCTCACAGTAAATACAGAGCTAAATCCCAGATCGAATGCATGCTAAAGGGTCATGAAAAGGTTTTCTCTCAGTGATTGTGATGTTTTGTTAAATGTTCGTGTTTCATGTACTGTGTCTGGATATGTGTCTATGTTGGTGTTGGACATGGAGCTGCTGTGATGCAAGTCAAATTTCAGACTTGATCTGACCAATAAAGTATTATCGTATCGTACCGTAACCCTTTACTAAGAGACACTAGTTTCGCATAGTCAGCGAAGAATACTCAGTTGATGTTTTTTTCTAATTTAAAGTACTTACCTATTTCCTCTGGGAGGTGTTGCAGCAGGTTCTCCCCCAAACCCAGATGAGTAAGGTTGGTGAGGTGGCCGATGCCTCTGGGTAACGTGGTCAGCTGATTATTTGTCAACACCAATTTCTAATGAGAGAGAAAGAGCAAAGTTTATAATGTGCTCTAAAAGATGGTTAAATTAGAATGACATAGCATACGCCCTTTATCACCCAGTTATATTGTCTGCTGTCATCACACAACTGATTATCTGATAACCTGTTCCTTAATACTAAACTGTCCTACATATAGCCAATGATGAGGCTCTAAATGTTTACGTTTATTCTTATGATTGTTCCTCAGTTTGATATTTCAACACAATAACCAAAGATTGAGTATTGTTTGAACTGTGTAAATAGCAAAAGTGTTTTTGCTTCTTATTCAGGTACGCATTAGTTCCTGGTTCTAATAAGGCACATTTATTTAAAGCAATTCAACAGCCATACTATAGGAATGCATCACCATCTCCTGCAGTGTGTTTTATTACAACAGGATTTGCCAAAATCAGATTTTTGTGTTTTACTAAATGTTCCTATATAAACAAATACAAACCTATACAACAACAATCTGCAACAAACAATAAAGAGCTTCAGGTATAATGGAGAAAAGTGCATTTTAGGAAAACGTACCTGTATATCTTTAAGATAAGCAATTTCATTGGGTAGAGATTCCAACTTGTTTTCCTCCAAGTCGAGCTCCCGTAGCTTTCTCAAATTCCCAATACCATGTGGTAACTTCTTGAGAAGATTATTGGACAATATTAACACCTGTGAAAACAATGACAAGTTTATATACAACAAGAAACAGGGGAGATTGCTTTACTGTTTCAGTAAAAACATGTCAAACAACACATGAAGACATTTGAATATTTTTGTTAATAATAACTGAAACATCTTGTGAAAAAAGGTTTGTTTGACTTTTTAGCCTGTACTTAGGTTACTACTGTATTGAGGAAATTGGCCTGTGCAGTACTTTTTAACCACACCCAAAACGTAATACCATGAGTAAGAGTTGCTTAGTAAAGCCCTTTGGCCCTTTTGCTATCCATATGTCAAACAAGGCAAAAATGCCTCAACGATTTACTCATAAGATAAGGGCTATAATGTCTGGACATATTGGCTCCAACACAAGCTCAATTCTGACTGCAAGACCCACCTCCAGAGAGACTAAACCACAGACGTCCTCTGGGATCTTTGTCAGCTGATTGGTGGCCAGGTTAAGCTCGACCATGCTCGTCCATGTGCCAAAGTCCAACGGCAGCGATGTTAACTGGTTGTCCTGAAAAGATAATGGCATACCTTTATTAGCAAAGGTGGTGTTGTTCAGGCAGCCTTAGTTCTGAACAACACTATCAGCAAACTGGAATTTCTGTGATGCAGCTCCATCTAAGGTGTTGTATAATATAGTGGCATATGTAATTCAATAATATTGATGTAGACGTTGGCGATCCCTACCTTCTAGAATAGGCGTAATAAAAATGTACGCACAACTAAGATCCTTTAAAACAATTAAATCATTACATTGTTAGACCTTGTTCAGTTTTAGTAAATATTTATATCCACCTTTACTGTGAGGGTTCAGTTTTATTATAAATGTAGCAAAGTCAACAATTCACAATGCTGAAGACTGTACTGCTACAAGTGGATTATAGATAATTTGTTAAGATTTAAAACCTTGTATATTACCGATTTACTTATCGTTCAAACACAGTATCGCTCAGGTAGAAGCTCCAATTCATTCTCACGGTCTAGCTTGATTTTTTACAGAAAATATTTAGACAGGTTACAGCATGAAATTCAGAGGTGTCCATAAATAAAAAAAACATAATCATAGCTGAATTTAGCTAATACCGTTGCAGGGTTTCTGGCCCATTGCCTCACTCTCAAGACTTGATGGGACTTGAATAGAACACAATAGCCATCTTTGGTGTTATTGGAATCACTTGTTTTTCACATTTCAAAAAGTAAAATATCTGAGGTGAAAATAAATATTCTGAAGAGCATTCAATACTTTTTTGACACTTTTAACTACAGGCAAACATGTATACAAACAAATATACCTTCATGTTAAGCTTGCTTAACACTTTGGCCCTGGAGAAGATGCCAAAGGGGATTTTGTTGATGCGGTTGTGCTCCATGTTGAGGGAGTAGATGGTGGAGAACTGGGATGGTCCCCCCACAGGGTACGACTGGAAGCAGTTCCTTGCCAGTGTTAGACTGGTTAGGTTGACCAAACTTGAAAGTAGGCCCTAGCCAAGCACAGCAAGAGACATGACAAACCATAAGAACAGGACTCTATCAATGTAGGCTACGGTCTTTACTTGGCATACATTAGTGCAGGGGTGGGGAACCTCCGGCCCCCGGGCCGTATACAGACCGCGAGACCATTTGGTACGGCCCTCGAGGTAATTTATAAACACACGCAAAAAATTAAAATTAAAGAAATCTAGACCGCAAAATAATTAAACAAGAGAGTACCTGTTTTTCCTGGCCACGGTCAGGGTCCTTGAACACAACACGAGCCTAACGTGTCATCACGTGGTATATGTCTCGTCTGACAGGGGTGTAGTTCTGACGGAGAGCACCAGAACACTGCTCCGCCACTTCAAAAAATGGCAGTACCCATAAGGAGCCGTACACATGCCCCAGTTTTTGCGTGGCTGTGTCTTTAGTTGAAAGCCCAGTGGCGATCTGATCATCTGTCATACTGATCATACAGTCAATAACGTTGTTGTTATTAGCATCTGGTTAGCTAGCTATGCTAACGAATATAAGAAGCTTTTTCTACAACCAGTGAGGTAAAGGCACATCTTTATATGATCATTATAGTTAGAAAAAAATAAGAGAATAAAGTAAACGGGTATAAAATACTATATGACAGTAAAAATAAGTTGTTATTAATAAACAAGAATACGGTTTAAAAGGAGAGTGATTTGTAAAATATCCATAAAGAAAAGAAATCTGCTTCCAGTTCTGTTTCATATGGGTGTTGAGAGATGTATCCATAGATCGCCTAATGTTGCTCTCAAAGTGCACCAGATTGATGCTTTTAACTTCAACATTTAAAAACAAATCTTCCCGGTTGTGCATGCCCCCCGGACCCCCCTAGAGGACCCCCACTTAAATCATGTTGACATAGATAAGAAACTAAATACATTTGCACACATCTTGTGTCCATATCTTTCCGTTTTGGTGGTCATGCCACACCGTGCACGCATGCATACGCGAGTCATGGTAAGATATCTGGATTAAGAGGTTGCTTTTTCTTTGCACACATCAAAGAAAGTGAATGGGCTGTGATTTTAGTATTTTTAAGCAGAGGTCAATAATTTGTACGGCCCTCGGAGGATGTTGAAAAAATTGAAATGGCCCTTGAGAGGAAAAAGGTTCCCCACCCCTGCATTGGTGGATCTTGGTGATACACAAGAAATGAAGTGGTTAAGCTCTAAACAATGCAAACAGCAGCTCTTTTAGAGACTTCATTTTAGAGCACAGCGCAGAGGGCTTGAGGCATTAACATTTATCTGTTGTTTGTATCTTTGATACTTTTTGACCTGCAGGATCATTGCAGAAAATATTTGATGTTAGTATAATGCAAATTACGACTGCAAGTGATAATTATTATTATCATTTGTTACGATGTTAGTTTTATACAATCAACATTGTGTATTTGGTTCCACTTACTTCAGGCAACACCGAAATGTTGTTGTTTTCCAGGTTTAGCTCCTCCAGCTCTCGGCATTGGGCTAATGATCTGGGGATCGCTGACAATCTATTGTATCGCAGCCCTAAGCGATTTATGCTTGCAAGGTTGCCTACAACGACAAAATAAACATTACAACATGTATCAAATTTAGTTGGCGCCACAGACAATAACTTTGCTTTTGAGTCATAATATGTACTATATACTGTACTAAATGTACCTATAGTCTCTGGTAGGTCCAAGAGCTCATTGTGCTGCAAGTCGAGGTTGGTTATCTGTGTGCAATTCCCGATCTCCTTCGGTAGGTGTTCTAACTGGTTATGTGCCACATCCAGAGTTATGAGATTGCATAGCTCCCCTGCAGAAAGATGTACACAAAATTGGAATCAACTTTATTCAAGATGAAAGCATTTACAGTAACCCACTCTCTGCTGCACTGAGGAAATCTATCTTTGTCCATCCTTTAAAAAGGTCAGATGACTTTTGTGCATAGCTTAAGTACCAAGCATGTTTTATAGCAAGAACTCTATATTAAATCACAAAAATACAGCACACAAAATACAATGGGCAGCTGGATTCCCCGCTTTAACATTCAGTAATATATGTGATTTTGAATAGTAAGATATGTGTTTATGCTGGGAGCTATTGGTGCTTTTTGTTTTTAAAAATATAAGATTTTAAAAATATTCTATGAGCACATATAATTTGGGTGGAAATGAACACTGGCTTAATGCCATAAACCCAATGGTATGCAGTTACCATTATTGGATTTCTTATGACCACTAGACTTCAATTGTGTCTTCTTGATTTGTCTACATTTGGGGATTTTCATTCCCGTCTTTAAACACAGATGTTGCTCACCTATCTCTGCAGGCAGCTGTTTAATCTTGTTCTCCCGAATGCTGAGCATAGTGAGCTTGGAAAGGTTTCGGATGTCCTTCTCCACGGTTGTGATGCGGTTGAAGCGCAGGTACAGCGTGGTCAGAGATGTTAGTCGGTAGACAACAGCCGGTATCTCTCTCAGCTTGTTGTGCCGGAGGTCGAGCATTCGAAGCTTCTTAAGGGAGTCCAGGGAGTCAGGCAAACTGGTCAGGGAGTTCTCGCTCAGGGCCAAAGTGACCAGGCCTGACAGGCAACCAACCTCAGCCGGCAGGCTCTGCAGCTTGTTGCTGTATAAGTAGAGTTCAGCCAGCTGCGTCAACTCCTTAATGGAGGTGGGCAGCATGTGAATGGACCGTTTAGATAGGTCCAGTCTCATTGAGTTCTCCTCCCGGCACTTGTTGAGCTCTTTGATCACCTCGGCATTGCTGGACTTCTTGCGTGTACCTGCTGCCGGGTTTGGCCGCTTAATCGTATTGTCAACCGAGAAGGCAACACCCGGTGTTGAGCTGCTGGTGTCCTTCTTTCCATCTTTGGCATCTTTCCCTTTGGTCTTCGTTTCTTTACCACCATCTTTGACTAAGCCGGCTAGAGCCTTGGCCTCTTTTTCCCTTTCTTTCCCAGCTGGACCACCTTTGGGGTCCTTTTCTTTCGAATCTTTTTCTTTGCCTAAAGTACTACTCATGTCGACGTTATCGAGCCTCCTGCAGAGTTGCTCATGGGAGTCTCCCTTGTTAGGTTACTTATTCGGGAAAAAAGGGACACATACAGTCAAGTAGGCTTTTAAAGAAAACATCCCTGTACAGGTCCACACATTTATGATTATCGTTGAAATAAATGCCTTGTGATCCAAAGGGTTTTTTGGATGCTTTTGAAACTTTGTTCCTATGTTAAAATTCCATGGGAGAAAAGATCCTTTGAAGTAGCAGGACTGTGGCACCCATGGGCCACATGCTTAAGTGTTTGAACTGCATACAATCCAAGGACCTTGGAGTTATTTCGGGCTGCAAAGGTCATCAAGGTTTTTTTTTTAATCCTTCGAAGGTTTGCTGTTAGGGAAAAAGAAAAAGAAGATGTGTTCAAATGTATGATCATTTTCACACGTTCAGATCAGAGTGTGCTTCTACTGCTGTAAAGTGAGGGGACATTGGGAAAAAATGTCTATATCAGATTATCTCAAATAATAATAACTTACTGATATGTTAATGATTGTTTTACTAGATTTGTACTAGTAATGCATATTGTCTGAAATATATATATATATATATATATATATATATATACACCTGTATCTCTGTTATTCATCCAGCATTTATAGTGAATATATTTAACACTGCTAAAAATATTTGGAGAAATAAATCACTTCTTGCAGTTGCCCTAAAGCAGGGGTGGGGAACCTCCGGCCCCCGGGCCGTATACGGCCCAGGAGACCATTCGATACGGCCCTCGAGGTAATTTATAAACACACGCAAAAAAGAAAATAATTAAAGAAATCTAGACCGCAAAAAAATTAAACAAGCGAGTGCCTGTTTTTCCTGGCAAAGGTCAGGGTCCTTGAACACAACACGAGCCTAACGTGTCATCACGTGGTATATGTCTCGTCTGACAGGGGTGCAGTTCTGACGCAGAGCACCAGAACACTGCTCCGAAACTTCCAAAAATGGCAGTACCCATAAGGAGCCGTACACATGCCGCAGTTTTTGCGTGGCTGTGTCTTTAGTTGAAAGCCCAGTGGCGATCTGTTCATCTGTCATACTGATCATACAGTCAATAACTTTGTTGTTATTAGCATCTGGTTAGCTAGCTATGCTAACGAATATAAGAAGCTTTTTCTCCAACCAGTGAGGTAAAGGCACATCTTTATATGATCATTATAGTTGTAAAAAAATAAGAGCATAAAGTAAACAGGTATAAAATACTATATGACAAATGAAAAAAAGTTGTTATTAATAAACAAGAATAGAGTTTGAAAGGAGAGTGATTTGTAAAATATCCATAAAGAAAAAGAAATGTGCTTCCAGTTCTGTTTCATATGGATGTTGAGAGATGTATCCATAGATCTCTTAATTTTGCTCTCAAAGTGCACCAGATTGATGCTTTTAACTTCAACATTTAAAAAAAAATCTTCCCGGGGGCCCCCGGAGGAGGTTCGGTCCCCCCCCCACTTAGATCATGTCCACATGGATAGGATACTAAATACATTTGCACACATCTTGTGTCCATAGCTTTCTGTTTTTGTGGTCATGCCACACCGTGCACGTGCATGCATGCTCGAGTCATGGTAAGATATCTGGATTAAGAGGTTGCTTTTTCTTTGCACAGCATGAAAGAAAGGCCAAATGAATGGGCTGTGATTTTAGTATTTTTAAGCAGAGGTCAATAATTTGTACGGCCCTTGGAGGATGTTGAAAAAATTGAAATGGCCCTTGAGAGGAAAAAGGTTCCCCACCCCTGCCTTAAAGCAAGGACCTTTACGGTCATCATTACAGAGAGTATGAACCTCGTCTGCAGGACCTGAATAAATCCTAACATTTTGATTGATGGGATAGTATAGGCTATGTTAGCCCATAGACTAGGGGTGTTGAAATTAATCGTTTCTACGATGCATCGTGATGCGGACGATTCTGCATCGATGCAGGTACAGAACATAATCGATTATAGCATAGTAACGTTGCTTCCTGATCTTCCGGCCGCGGCTGGACAATAACGTTTTTTTTTCTGTCACACGAATATCAAATCGGTCGGTGACGCAGAGATCAGGGAACAGAAGTGACAGCAGCACAGCGACTCCAAACACGGAGCAGTCTGCTTTATCCACCAACACCAGTCCAGAACCAACAGCAGAATGACCCGCTCTGAATCAGGCCGTGTCGCTGCGGCTCAGAGACACACATCGATTTATGTTTTTGAAAAACATTCGTTGTCATGTCAGGTTTTTGGTGGATTTAATCAAGTCTTGGATTGCAGAGTATGAATGTCCTCTTGCTATTTTCAGTTGATAAATACGTGTGTAAAGTTTGTGAAGGCAGGAGGAAAGCTTCCGCGATCACCGTCTCCTCTGTTCCTCCAAACCCCGCCCCCTCCCTGAAAATATTGAGTGACAGGCTGATGGTAACCTGATAAAAACATTATTATTCACTTAATCACTGATTGAGATATGATGAAGCTAACTTAATCTCATACATTCATGGGATTTATGTAACAGTAAGACAGAGAATGTAAGTGTGCTCCCACATGCAGTATTTTTGTTTTTATATGCTGTTGTAAATACTCCTGTTGTCTGCTGTGTTCAGACTCAAGTCCTGTGTGTGATGCCACATTCAGGACATTCAGTGTCCTTTTTAGAACAGAAGACCGTTGCTAGACGCTGCAGCTAGACTGCAGAAGCATTAGTTTTTGAGGATGGAACAATTTCACACACAGATATAGGGAGGCTAGAGCTATACAATTGGTTTATTTAGGTTTATAATTTAATGTCAAGACATTTATGTTATTGATTTCTGACGCACTTTCTAAATAATAAAAAGGGAGTTCATATTTATCTTACTGCATGTATTCATTGATGAAAAATAAGCCATGTGCAGTAATATAGAAAATTGAGGATGCAACGCATTGTTATGCATCGTGATACATCGGGATATCGAATCGAAGACAGGATAAAACATGGATGCTGTGAACCTCAAAATAGGTGACTCAAACTTTAAGCCTTGTTTTCCTTTTTAAATGGCTGATTTATTAAAAAGTCAGTGTGATAATTTGGGGAAAAAACGGAATAATTTTCACTCGGGAAGCATTCAAAAAGTTTGTTCTGTTTTAAAAATGGGCACTGCTGGCGATCACAAACATGTAAGCCAGTAATGCATGCCGTGGACAAAAAAAACATTGGTAATTCCCTCATTTCGCACATTTTTCTGCAACATTTTGCAGGTTAACCACACATCTGAAGAACTGCTGTTAGTTGAAAACGTTTTCATGCTGGAAAGAAAGTCTGAAACACAACCTGTCCACGCCTTCCTGCCACAACCGATCCACACTGACACACTTCTCTAAACAAATATAACTGCTAGAAAAAACTGAACGATAATATAAAAATGTCAATAAACCATAATTTGAATTTATTTTATGTTGTAATGATTATGGTGCGATGTAAGCTGCTTCAAGTGAAAAGAGTAAGTACAATAAAAAAGGTTATGATACCCTCACAATATGCTTCCTTATTCATGAGACAAAAAACAGCAACACTTCAACAGGTTTGGTTGGTTGTCAGTACCATGATGTGCCACTCCAAACAATTCTGTTGAACTTACTAAGCATAACCTCACACCAACTTACTCCTGCTAAACAAACATGGCCGAGAGGGTGTTGACATTACTGTAAGCCTACAGCCCCACCTAAACATGCATTCGGCCATCCACTATAAAGCATGAAACATAATAATCACACTGAATATTTACATTTAAGAGACATACAGACCAAATTCTCTACTTGTTGTATCTTTGCATGACAAACTGAGCCATAATGTCTCTGGCGGGACTTCTCTATTGCTACTGTGTAAAGCTGTCCTGCACTAGTAAAAGCAAAGCCATGGTAAAAAAGAAAGGCAGTTTTGGCTCAGGATCAGAGCTAAATGAAAAGGTTAGTACTGCCAGAGAAATCTTTAGAAGTGGCCTTCAAAGCATGAAGTCTCCACAACAACAGGTCATATGACCTTTTGGGTAAAATAAATATTGGGTCAATAGCAGCCCCCTAACATGATAGAATGTTTGACAGTGTGTTCTGTACATAAGAAAGGTATCTGCTGCTCTTTTAGACCATCATAAATAAAAGGGTAAAAATGCAACAGTGACTGTAATAGGCATAACTGTGCACGAAATACGTATTACAATTACATGAGAATATCCAGGCCAACTGCAAGAGACATCTCAGTCTAACTGTGCCAGCAACTTCCTTTTATGGTTATACTCCCTGGTCGGTTTATAACAAACCACATGTAAACTTGTGATTGCGTATAGATGTATCTCTGCATCTAAAGACTTGATGTTTTCTGCTTGCACCGAATGAAGACCAAACAAGATCAGAGGAAAAGTTGGCAATCCAATAGAGCAAATTCATTTCCTAGTTATCTCTTATAATTTGTAGTGATATTTATGACTATCAGGTCAACTCTTGGTCATTGTTTGGTCAGCTCATTAAAAGAAAATATATGAACCAAACCAATGCAGGCATGCTCATGGTTGGATTTTTCAAATGCATGCAGGAGTTTCGGCAAAACACAGTGGTTTAATACCAATAGCAATAGCTGTTAATAAAAAAAGGGGGTTCAGAATGTAATGTACAGTCCGAGCATTAAGTAAAGTGTCTTTTATTTTAAAAACTCAACCATTTGTGGATGCTCTAAATCAATTTCCAATCTTTACATTGGCCTTAACAACTGTCTAGTATCCAGATGTGGGGGACTTATTTAAAGATGCCCTTGTGGCATATGTTGGCCAAAAGCATTGGATAATGTCAATTTAACATAGCAATTTCTCACGGACCAAACCTGCAAGCAGCATAGGGGTCCCCGTTATTCAATATCACTCATTCAGTAGATATACATATTAGGTCACACTATACACAGCTTTGGATAAAAGCTAATGCATGTCCATCAGCAAACACACAACACCACCATAAAGTGCCACTCCACATTTCATGGCACTTGCAAACCACATAGAGACTCATGAAGTTTCCATTAGGAACTGACAATGCCAGAGCATTTAGGCCTTGGCAGAACAGTTTGCTGTTCTCATGCTTTTGTTTGCTCCTTTTAATGCCTTTTGATTGCTCCTTTTAATGCCTTTTGATTAAATAAGAAATGCAGCAATCAGAGAATGCAATTAAACAAATGTAACGAATGAAGTGCTTTTATATAACAACATGTACTACAGATTTCGATTCAGTATGCGTCTAAAACTCAGCTCCTGTGTTCATGTTGACAGTGTACTACTACCAAACACAATAAACAAATACAAATAAAAGCATGAATAACCCTGCCTGTCAGTGACATGGTTATTTGTGTAATATAAGGAAGAAATAGCAAACGATGTGAGGTGGCAGATATCAGCTACTGCTACTACACAGGACTCCACAGGACGCAGCTAGCCTGATGGCTAACGTACGTGTGCCAATGACAAATCCTTGCAAACTGATAACTGACAAAAACGGTACAGGTCAAGATGTGAAGTCACCGTTAGAGATTCATTATTGTACATAATATGGATAATTACGATAAGCCCACTTTGTGTTTTGGCACTGATCATTGGTGTGACGTGAACAGTTGTCATGCTAAACCTTAACCCAACATAAACTAACGTTAGCTAAATAACATTGATATCTATCTAATGTTACCCAAACCAACATTTTAAAGTGACTGAGAGATAATATCTACAATACAAATATTCATCAAGAAATCTTTAAAAAGAGGAAAACATTGTAGCTTAGCAGACTAAAACGACTGACAACAAGGCAGGAAATAAAAGGAGCTAAGCTAAACGTCAACAGCAAAGCAAACGTCAGTTATGCCCAAACGTTAACGTGCTAACGTCAGCTAGCGAGCAGGTTAGCCCAGCAGCTAGCAGCGTTTTAGCGAGCGATATTAAGACTCAAACGAGTAAAAGTAACGGCAAATGTAACATTATAATACCAAGACCCATTGCTACGCAAAAAACACGTTACAAATGGGTCGGTGATTTGCCTGACAAATTAACTCACATCCAGCGGTGAGCTTTTATCCAAGCAAAGCTAGCTGTGTGTAGGCCCGAGCATAGCGGCTGTCGGACCGACCCGTCCGCCGTGAGTCTGACCGAGAGGGAAAGCTCTGCTGCGGCCAGCTGAGCGGGTAGAAGACACCCAAAGAGAACAGCCGGTAGAGGCAGGGGGTATTCCATGAGAGCGGCCATTTAAGAAACACAAGGTAAAAACTAACTGTAACATCGTATATACAACCCGTTCCCGTGTTGAATATTAGCTGAGGAAAAAAAGAAAACACTCTGAAAAACAGCGGCCATTCCGAAGCTGAACAAAAGAGTGCGTTCGTACTCACCAGCTCAAAATGACAATTAAACCATAAACACGCCGCAGCGAGAGACTGGAGAGTGTGTTATCCCTGGCGTGATGCGAAACCGTGCTATGGGGCTAAAACGACCACTGTTAATGTGATAATATAACTGTTTTACCTTCAGAGGTGTGACTCCGCCATCCTTGCTGCTTCCTCCTCTTTTCCTACACTGCTGCTCGGCTCCCCTCCCTCCCCTGCCACCAAACTGCGTCATTCGCACGCCTAACCAATGTTATCACGAGACTTTGAAATACAATCAAATATTCCTAGATAAACATTGGCTTAATTTACATAAATATGCAACACAAGTAAAATACTTGTTTTTGTGTGTTTTGTAATACATAATAAAAATTAGACTTATATTCCATTACAACAAGTAAAAACCCCACAATACAAATGGTGTTTAAACATCCCCTACAGGGGGATGATTACTGGAAAGTAATTACATTTACTTGAGTATTTTTATATTCTGCTACTTAATACTTTTACTCCACTATTTCTCAGATGCAAATGTTTTAGTTTTATTCAACTACAAAATAGCCATTCAATTAATGATGACACTATTATATCAAAGAGGCTTTAATGGTCTCCATGCTAATCAGCAGTTTGTAAAGTAATACCAGAATCAGAATCGTTTGTATTACCCACTAAGTTTAAATACATGAAATAACGAAACAAGTATAATGTTCTCCACGTTGATCAGATAGAATATCAAAGATATCAACCTTCAATTATTGTCATCCAATAATATAATCTATATTATACAGAAATATTGCCTTCCTGCATACAATGTATATATCTATGAACATGTTGATGCCTTTACTCTTTTTCTTTTTCCTAAGTGAAGTTTAAATGCAGAACTTTTAGAACAATGCTCTGAACAGTACTTTGTGATCGAAAAATCCAGCAAGTTTATACGAACATCATACAAATAATTCTAATTTGAAAGTAGAACCGCTGGATCCAGAATTTCTCATATTTCAAACACAAATATTACATTTAAGCTGCATGTTTACTGGGGGTTTCAATATTCCTTATCACTTGGGTAAATGAATAGCCTACTACATCTCGGTTGGCTTCAAAACTAGATGTACTTGTATGTACACACCTTAAACTAATATTTAAGATAATCATAGAGAAACTTTCCTCCTTCAGCAGAGGAATATGAAACCCACATTGTACAGTTACAATGTTCACATATGCACAATAAAACGGAAACATAAGTAAAATAACAACTAGCACATTTATTAAATACTTTTCAGCCACTGTGAACTAAATATATAAAGGATTAGACAGTAGGCCTACATGTTCTCATCTATAAGACAGTGGAATATAATAATAAATGGAAATAAAGCTGTTAATCTCTAACTACATTCACGTCATGGAACATATTACTACAACAATTATGCAAAACATTTACTTAAACATTGGGACATATAGTCCTTATTGAGAGTTCCGCTGTTCTGCCTGCAGGTGTCAGTGCAGCACTGTGCCTGGTAAATAAGAAGAGAAGAACGTCACGTGATTCTCACGCAAGCGTTGGCTTGACAACCACCGTAATCTCTTCCTGTTGCTAAAAGGTGGGCTTTTTTTTCAATTTGTTATGATTTAAATGTGTTCACAAACGACACAGTAAATATAAATAGGTGTATTCTCAGCTTTAATAATTGTATTTGACTGGTAGTTTGATAAAAGAAAGATACCGCTACTTTAGCTGGGCATATGTTGTGATAGTACGTGCTAAAGCTAGCTAGTGTTTTTGAGCTAACGTCGGCTGTTATGCTATACTTTACGGTGTCGGTAAGTGTCGGATTTTAACTCGTCGAACGAAATTACGTAACATCAAAACCAAGGTGGAAATTGGGGTCGAATACAAATATAAAGTATAGATAAAATAGATAAAATATTGAAACAACTACGTATCAGAATCTAAATACATTTATTCTTCAGACAGAGGGAACATTTACTTTGTTATAGCAAAAGTGAAGAGGCAAAATATTAAATAAGAGTCATGCATACAATCTTAAAGATAGCAATTACACAAATTACAATTCACCAAGGTACCCATTCAGGTGGACAACAATAACAGTATTAATACAAATTAGTGTAACATGTGATGTGATAGCCAGATACATGTGATGTGATAGCCAGATAATAGTATTGAAAGTAAAAGTATATATTGCACGGTTATTACAGATTTTGTTACATTTCTTACATGTTAAATGATTATTATTTCCTACAGCATGGTCAAGTGTTTTCTTTGTCTGAGTTTTACTTTGTTGTATTGCCTTACTGATGTTACTCTTTTTACATATACTGATATTAAACTAGGTAACTGTTGTAACTTGTCACTGCGAAATACATTTAAAATGTTATCTCACTATCCTCCGTGTTCTGCATTAAAAATCCACTAAAGAATACCCAGCAACATTAACAGGTATCGTGATGAACCCAGTGTCACATTTTTTTATGTTTTTCTGCTCTTTTTTAACCAGAGCTGCTTGCATTAGCAGACACTAAGTTCACTGCCAGTAAAACCTTGGTTTCATTAATGTATGTAAGATAAATCTAGTTACATTTAATAAACTTAAATGTTTACCTTTCAGCAAGCCACAAGAAGACACAATGCCAGAAGTCAAGTCAATATTCAGAGAAGTTCTGCCTAAACAAGGTGGGTACCACAGCAGCTAGCTATTTGGACAGCAGCACTTACAAACAAAAGGCCGTCTGTGAAACTCAATACATGTGAACTGTTTAGAAATGTGCAAAAGCTTGCAAAATGAGTCAGTGGTTGCTCTGTGCCCGCTCTTTACAGTCTCTCTTACAGCTCAAAACCATTTACATTGTTGCTCTACAAAAAAGTATATAAATGAATTGTAGTTCATGGCGTTAAAAGTGCCATAATTTCTCACAAGTAATTTATGGGCAGACCGACAGATATGTTACATTTCCAGATGTTTTAATGAGTGATGCAAAACTGACCATCAGTGTAAAAAAACAAAACATCAGCAAACAATTATGTAATGATTCACAACTGCAAATATAACATGTGGTCCTTAAAATACTAAGGGTTGGAGGCTCCTTGAGTGACACAATTTAACTGCAGACCTGTTTGCCAGTGATGCTTTCACATTTGTAGTAATTTATTTTAAAGTTTTTAGGTAGAACTTTTTCACTGCTTCTGTGTGAGGGACTACCATCCAGCCAAGTCTTAATATGTTTGCATTCAAGCTGAGATTAGTTGAGAATTTATGTTGTGTTCTATTTTGGCAAACTCCACAGGGCAACTTTCCATGGAAGATGTGCCTACCATGGTTTTGTGTAAGCCAAAGCTGCTCCCACTCAAATCAGTCACACTGGAGAAACTGGAGAAGATGCAGATGGAGGCTCAAAAGGCCGTCAAGCTGCAGGAACTGGCAATGAAGGAGCAGAATCAGTAGATGACTGATTGGAGGACTCATAACAACATGAATGGTCAAACTGGCAGGAAGTCCCTTCAGATGGATGGCACAAACCCAGATTTTTACGCACGGGAAGAAAATGTTTTTGTTAGAACAGTCAAAATATCAAGAAATGTGTGATGTTTGGCTTCACAGAGATAAGCTTAGAAGGGAGTAGCAACCTGAGCTTAAAAACTCCTTCACTCTTTGAAGGTCTAAATGTTTTATTGTTGATTGATCTTCTGCATGTCACCGTTAAGGATTACATCTATCGCTTGCCAGTGTGGTTGGCTATTAAGACCTGTGCGCTTCATGAGATTTTCCATGTGTATTACTGCATCTGTGATTTGACATTAACAAGAGAACATCAGTTAAAAGCTTCCTTATCGAGTGAATGTAGAGCAGTTTATTTGTCAGATCATAGAATAAAGTTGTAATACTTGTTTATAGTGTGTCAATTACAAATACAGCCATGGGTTGTTGAATAGTGATTTAATGAACAAACAAGGAGCAATACGTGGTACATTTCACTCCCCAGTATTCCCTAGGTATAAAAATAAACACTCTAAAACACAATTTTGTGAAGTTATCTCACTGTTATTTGTTTTTGAAATGTACTCGTGTCTTGATACCTTCAATTAAAAACATCTTTGTGTAATTGAAAGGGTAGAAATAAAAAGCCAACACAGCATAGAAACAGCAGCTAAATAGGGAGCCAGTATTGCATTTTACCAACGTGCTCCCCTTTCTTTATTTTTTTAATACCCTTTTATAAAGCTTTTGACACAAACCAGTCCTCTTTGTACAAACACTGCTTTCTACAAAACACAAAAGGAGTGGCAGTGAACTTAAGAAAATACTGTACAAAACAACATGGAATGACTGACACTGCGAGGTGTGGCACTTTAAGGGTTAGCTTATGTAAATGTTTGCATTGAAACACCTTGAAGAAAGTGCTCTACTTCAGGGTCAATCAAAAGTGCAGTCGTTTTTTAAACACCCCACCTCAATTTCAGAAATGTACATTATTTTGACTGTTAGAAGGGAAAAATTCGTACCCAACTATTTGGGAAAATATGCAAGTAAAAAAAGGTAGCTCTATCCTCTGCTTTTCAGGACATACGGCACATAGAAATGGCTCCTCAGTAACTTTCGTGTTTCACAACACCACCATCTCCCTCGCTGACAAATCTCTTCCGGCCTCTGACAAAAGACAAAAATAATCAACATTCAGTTATAATTTCTCTATTTTAAACAGGAGAAAGGTGTTAAGAGTGTGTCTGAGAAAAAACAATAGGCTGCACTTACCGACAGGGACAAAGATCTCTTAACTTTACATCAAGGATTCCCATAACGAAGCTCTTATCAACAAATTGCTCCAGGATGTAGTATGCGCGAGGGACATCAATGTTGATTTCAGCGATGTCCATATAGACTCTTTGAAAGCCCTAAGAAAAAAAATACACTCTTTAAAACAGCATCTTCCAAGGATAGCAAACAATGAGCTGCTACATGGTGCAGTGCATCACTCAGACACCAGGTGGCGCCTTACCCTTCTCATCTGGTCCACAGTGATGACGGAGGAAGCAGAGAGAGACTTGAGAAGCTGCAGAACCATTCTCAATGTTTTCTCTCCTTTGGACTCCAACACCAACACTATCGCCTGAGAAAAATAAAAGTATCCACAGCCATGCATTAGTACTAAAAACATTGGCTAATATCCTATATGCTCGTGATAGGTGATGCTTTAAGGACAGACTGAATGTGGGCTGTTCTGTCTCAAACTAAAGCAAAGTGTTTACCTCATAGACAAACTCATGGTGGAAATGTGGGACCTCCAGATCCCTCAGGCACCTCTCAGCCTCCTTACTGTCCCCGGACAGGATGTACTCCTTCAGCAGCAGGTTCACCTGACAGGACAGAGGAGAGGACATTATTTATAACTCAAAATTATGTTTTAAACAAAAAAGCAATCAGTCGTTATTGTAAGGAATTCTTGGACTTTATTTTGTGATAAGGCTCTGTTGGAACAATAGATGTTCATGAAGCGGATATCACACCTACTTTTCTTAGAAATACCCATCTCAACAGAAAGTAATACTGGCATCTACATCAAGAGTGTTTCAAATGTCAATGTATTATTGTGTCTTCTTGAGCATTTGAGAAAAAGACCATGTTCTTTTTTAGTAACAGGGATTCACATTGACATGTTAGGGCGGAAATATTTGCGAAGAAATGGTTCTTTGGAATAAATGAAGAGTGAGCATTTTCAACTGTGTGCTATCTTTTACCTGGCCATCAATACGTCTTTCTTATATATGTTGCCCTCGTCACTGTGGTGAAGTTACCAAACCATTTAAAGCTTTATAACAGAAAATGTTTACTTTCACATACATTTATTGGTCATACAGGAAATGTCCATCATCTGTGTGGTTGCTTTTGTAATGTACCTCTTTGATAAGCTGTATGACAGGCCTCTGGCCCCCGCCGGCCCCCCACTGGTTGTCTATGCGTAGGCCCCCCCTACTCATCTTCAGCAGCACTGCTGCCCGGTCGAGTGATGCTCTGCAAGAAAAAAAAAAGAGTTGTTTGGGCAGAGTTGTCACACTGCCTTTCATTCTTTACTGTCCCACCTCTCCAATCTGCTCATGATCACACGGTTCTCTACTTGTATACAAAAACGCAAACAGAGAAGCTTTACCAGAGGCCTGTACTACGAAGCCGGATTTTCGCTTAGCCGGCTGACTTCAGGGAAAACTCTGGCTTTCCGGTCCTACGACGCTGGTTCTCTTTTTAGCGGGCTAGATCTCCATGGTAAGTTATGCTGAGCGGCTAACCTCCTCGGGAGGAGGTTAGGTTGCAGGCTAAGAGATCAACTCAGTGAAAGCACCGCCTGCTGACCAATCAGAGCTCCGTGTGCGGAGTTTAAAGCTATCAAGTCATATTACAGGATAGAGGAAATACAGAAAAACTGCCGTTGCAGGAAAGACGGCCGGCAAAAATCAACTGACTGTGTGAACGTGAAAATTAATACAATATCCCCTCCCATCTTCAGAGCAATCTGACTATTATAACATTAGCGTTAAGAAAGCTTACTCAAATATCTGCCACGACATAAGTAACTGGATCAGAGTAACATTAAGTACAGTCCGCGGCACTGTGAGTGCAGACGTCGATGTGTCCCATTATCATTCATATCATATCACATCATAATGTATCATATATTTCCTTATCTGAGTCAGCTTCTTGAGCCGTATCTGGCCGTGCAACACTCACAGTGTCACATACTGTATGCAGAAGTATTATTTTAAGCAACACATTAAATTGACGAAACACTTGAGTCAAATTCTCCTAATTAAAGTCAGATCCACTCGTGTCTTGGACGGGGCAGTGATTTCATAAACCTGTTAATGTACGCATTCAAACACTTTTTCTTTTACCAGCTGTATTCACCTTGCAGGTGCAGCTATGTGGCTTTTATCCTGGATAAAGTGTTTAAGTCATGGATGTTTAAAGTTTAACTTCTTCATATTTGACTAATATTAAAGTTCACTTTTCATTCAGGAAGTATGACGCTGCGCTGTCAGTACGCTTGTCCATGTTTGAGATTGGTCGAATGCTCCAAATACCACCCCTTTCATGTGAACGCGCACCTAACTAGATAGGACACGGCTGGCTTGAGCGATCCACTTGATAACCAGCGTCGTAGTACAGCTTAGCGCCAGCGCGTATGTTTTGGATTGGGCCAACCGGCTAACTCAAACATATTCAGGTTAGGAAAATCCGGCTTCGTAGTACAGGCCTCTGATCACATTGTTGTTTTACTGAAAAACACTTTGGGTACGACTTGATTCCTTTATGTGATCTAGAACTGTTTGTTTGAAACCCTGACATAATGTTGGAGGATTTCCATGATAAAAGAGAAAATGTACTCATGGCAGTAACAATCACATACCTTGTGTATTGACAGTCAACTCTGCCTTTGAAGCCCTCGATGTAACTCTTGGATAATATGTTGTCGCTCACAGCACGTGCAATGAATTGGCCCACCAACTGGAGAATTAACACAAAAGGGAAGTATGTTAACAAAACAAAACAAATTTCAAGGCAACATGTTAAAAAAAGGCTATTAAAGAGAACTGTTATTCTGTCCACTCCTCTTAAAGCATTTCCCCTTTAATGCGAGTAAGGCAAAAGGTGACAGATAAAGACTGTAGATTAAAGTAAAGCACTTCGTGTTCATATATGACTGACCCTTGTACAGGAAGTGTTCAAGAACAAAGTGAGGAGCGAACATTTTGTTCAGAAAGACACTTCTGTTTGATTGGCTCACTATTTTAGTCTACAAGTCATATTTAAAAATCATTGATTATTTAAATGTTTTATTTACTTACTTAATTACATATGTCGTTCTAACACAGTAAATAGAAAACAGCTTTGTTGCATGAGAAAGCAGGACATTTTATTCACAATGACTTCTTTAATAAAAGTCTATTTGCAAGTGAAAAAATGTTGTTACTCATTGTTTGGCCATAATCCCTAAATACTTTCATTTTGAAGAACTAGAGGTCCAACAAAAACATGCCATGCTCGATGACTGGCAGTCACGCGTACATGTTTGTTTACAGTAGTGCGAGCGCATGATTCGGGGAAAATAAAGCGCTGTCTTTGCTCTTCTGGCCACCACTAAGCCTACGCTCATCACTGATCATTGTTCCCCTTCAAACAAGAGGCAGCTCAGTCTCCTTTGACCCGTGGCTGTGGCTAGACTGGCAGGCACATGAGGAGAAAGAGAGGAGTGTGAAGTGTGTGTGTGTGTGTGAAACCGAGAAAGAGAGAGTGAAAGGGGTGAAGGGAAGGAGGTTGGGGGCAGGGCAGAGACATGATGCCCCTTTAAACCCACAGAGGAGGGACAGAAATGACGAGTGAGCCCCAATGAGACGGTGACAGGAGGGGTGGGGGGGGGCTGGACGACCAATAACCCTTTGCCGTCCTATGCTGAGCTTGCATTTTGCGAGCGCAGACAGACAATGGACAGAGATCTCATGTCTGTGCAGGCTGAAAAGGAAAGAGCTCAAATGCACACACACACCACACACTAGTTCTTTCAAACACGGAGACACATAAACCCACAGTGTTGTTCCCCTCCGCTCCACCACAGACTGTTGAAACAAAACCACGCCATCTCAAACAGAAAACACACTTTCAGCCAACAGGTCTGACGGGTCTTGTGTGTTTATTGCAGAGTGACTGACAAGCCTCTTTTTCACATCAACCTGACCTGGTTCGTAAACAGAAATCAGGAAAATATGTGGAACTACTGTAGCTCTATGGGTCTTTTGTTGTTATCATTTAGAAATGTGTCATCCAGAGCATGACATCCAAATCCTCTCACAGCTCTTTTAGTAATAGTCTGGATTTTTAAGTTAATACTCATCCTGAATTCACAACAATTAAAAAAAGGTAGTACAAGAAGCATTTGATAAATGGCTTATTGAGCTACATATGTACAAACATGTATCTCTTAACCCCTCAGAAGGCTCACCTGCGGTGCTCCGGGTGTGTCCAGCACCAGATCAGGCAGCTGTTGGAGCAGTTTGTCGAAGGAGTTCTCCATGTCGCTGTGGGACAGCACCGGCCCACACAGGTCGGCCAGCAGCGTGGAGGTGAGCTCCCGCTGGCTGGCCTTGGCCTCCAGGGCCAGCGACACAGCCAGCGAAGGAACCTCGCTCCGCATGGGACCCAGGTTCAGTCCGGCAAGCAGCTCCTGGAGGGGGAGAGGGACGTCAGCAAGGCAGGGGCTTCAAGGTTGTGTTAATGTCAATTCTTGTTATTCTTAGAGGACTGTTTATGTACACTCTTTGAGCACATTTTACCTACAGGTGGTTTCTCTGCACACTTACCGCTACTTCATTTGTGTCTCCATGTTCAAAGTACTCTTGCACTATAGGGGTGACCGTCTTCTGGAAGTCCTTCTCCTCCAGCGGGGGAACCACAGTCTCATACACACAGTTTTCCTGACCAAACACAAATACATTGCCAGTTAAATGTTTCAAATATGAAATAAGGATGACCTGCCAAGTATGCTGCCAATTGTTATCTGCATTAACATTTACTTCAGTTTTTAGTATTTAAATGATTATTTTATCCACAAAACAGAATAATGTGGAAAGCGTACACTATAATGCATGTTAGCACAGATACGTCACAAACTGCGGCTTCAAAAATTACCCCATAACAACAAATTCTCAATAAAAATGCACAATTTCTTTCTTTTTGTTTTGCAGGACTGTGAATTGGATTACATTGGATTTAACAAGTTATCAGACTATTCCAAACGTGACATTGATTAGGGAGATGATATCAACGCCTGCATCAGTACCTGAGCTTCGTCATAGTTGGGGTCTCTCTGATCAACCACCTCCCGTCCATAAACTTCCCCAGATCGGCCCCAAACACCTTTCCCTCCGGCCCCTCCTGTGGACAAAGATCGGTGATAATGTTAGACATTACACATCTGTATGCGTACATGTACTAAAACCTATATCTACATTTTTTTACCCAAGGACCAACCATGCTGTGAAATAATCCCTCCACCTGGGCAGGTGATGCCTTTTTATGTGTTACACAAAGAAACATGCTAAATCTTAGGTCAGCACAAACAGATTGAAGACAGTTCAAGATGTACCAGAAGCTTGTGTGCTTTAAAACCTCTATTCGTTCAAAATGTGGCATATGAAATGCCACTATATTTAGCACAGCCCACACTGGTTTTGCAAATCAGCTCTACTTGTGCACTAAGACATGGCAGATGCCAGTTTGCTTTCGCCAACAAATTCTGCACATGGACTGCAATAACAGGATTCCACTGGCGTACCAGTTCTGTTATGAAACCAGAAGAACCAACAGACATCATGCCAAGAGAAACTACACTTGCTTAAAGGGGACCTATCATGCAAAATGCACTTTTGTACGTCTTTTATACATGAATATGTGTCCCCGGTGTTCCAGGGAACTCACCAAGTGTCAGAAAACACAACCCTCTCTATTTTCCTCCATACCCACATCTCTAAAAAAAGGGGCTGCAACGGATCTGATAAAAACTGATCCAGATTTGAAAACTTCACTGACGTCAGGACCGTGGCGCTACGGCTATTGGGCCAACTCCACCAATCAGGAGGAGACAGCCACGGCCATTGCCGTTCGAAAGCGCTGGAGACGCTGTAGTACATATGCCAGGCCAGTAGATGGTGCTGTTCTCACTGAATCTGCCCTTGCAAAAACAGAGCTAAAAAATGTCAAATTGAGCAAAATGAGGCATGGCTAAAATGCATGATCTGTTTGGTATTTTGAGAAAAAAAAAAAGTATAAATATGCCTTATATAGGTATGGTCCTACACTATATTATTCAAATATAGCATGATAGGTCCACTTTAAGTTCCACTGCCCATCAGGAAGAAAGCAAATAGACTAAACTGTCCTGCAGACAAAGAAGTGGGCATTGCATGCTTTCAACACGGAGTGAGGACGCACAGTGTGAGACAGCTGGACTATCAAAAGATGTTGGCACTTACTAAATTCTGTTCTGCTTATACATTGTGATGTGTCAGTGTTACTTCTAAAATATAGTCAAATGTAAGGCAGTTTAGAGCAGCCATCTTTAGTTTGATGAATATATTGGATAAACAAAGTAAGTCATTATACAACATCAGGTAAATACTTCAGTAGGGTCCCCCATTACTAGACAGTGCACAAAGACACTTAGCAATCTCATACACAGTGGGCCATCAACCTTATAAATGTCACTTTAAAATAAACTGTTCAAATAAAAGCCAGCTGTCTCTGTACACAATCATGGCAGTCCAAAAGGTTTTATACACATCCAATGACATACCAATAATAATAATAACAAAGGAAACTTCTGTTACACTAAAACAAAGGTTACCATGTTACTTACTACTATACTAAGTATTGCAGAGCAGCTGGTAAAACAAAATACGTACTTTTAAATCGGTGTGACCTTTTTAAAACCACCAAGCCATTTGTGTACATGCTAATTAGTTTATGGCTCATAGATGCATGCCAACAGGTGATAACAAGTAGTTCACACAGTAATGATGATGCCGCCCCCCCCATGTAGAACTGCAACACCAAAGGCTCTTTTATTCACTTTTAGTATCCTGTGTAAATGACCAGCAAAAGGTTATTCTTTGAAAAGAAGAGAAACTGAGACATTTGATCTATTTAGCAGCACCACATCACCATTTCCTACATACCTTTCTTTGGCAGGCCTCTGCCCTTGCCCAGTCGGGACCTCCTGTCCAGCAGCTTGCTCTTGGGGCTGGTGGGGGCCACAGAGGTTCCCCGGACAACTTCCCCATTATCGCTGAGAGAGTCCCCCCGGCCTGAGTCCCTGGAGGAGTTCTTCCTCAGTCTCCGCTTGGCCTTCGCCTTGAGACGTGCTTCGTGGATGCTGTTGCTTGACGAGGTCAGCCAGTTGCCATTTATCTCATTTTTTATGTTTTTGTTGACAACCAACCCTGCATTGTCTTCTTCTCCAGATAAAAAAGAGTCACTCAGGTCATCTGCCTCTGTTGGATTTCAAGGAAAATATGGGGAAAAGTTCATGTTAATAACATATGAGAAAGTGGATCTCAAGCTGAAATACATTTGATTCTATCTTGTTTTACTTTCCTAGTGGTCATGTGCATATACAATATACTCAGGAAAAGACGCTTAAAGTCAAACTTATGTATTGTAGTCAACTTTTATCTGCTGACACTCACAATATGTAGGATGAGCGACAAAATGCAATCTATGCCAAAACCTGCAGGCAGTGCAAGAAAAATAAGCACTAAAACCCACTTCCGCACGAAAAAGCCCCATTGCCCCATCTCAGACACAGCGGATGAAGCATTTAAATCGTCGTCACACTCACCAATGGGGTTTGCGTTGAGCCAGGCCTCGCAGTCAGTTGCCATATTTTACAATAGAAAAGAGATTTTGCAGCAGAATAACGTGCAAATGATACCTGCAACGTATAACAATACACATCATTGTTATATGCAGAAAAGAGTTATCAATAACATGCCCAGACATGTTGCAAGGCAGCAGCCTCCCCTCCCCCGTTCATTCAAAGTCACTGTTGACAAACAATGGCTAGCGTTGCGCTAGCTTCAATGTTCCCTGTCATGATAAAGAGCTGCGTCAAAAGACTCCCGAGTATCTGACTACTCAAATACAACTATTACCACTCAAACACTATATGCTAATCAGCAGTTAAGACTTTATATAATGTTCGTTTATATCGCTGACTCGACGTATCTGTTGTTGTATCGGCAGTAAAATATCATATCTAACTAACGTCAACTGTCCTTTAGCTGGCTGCACATTTTTTTTGCGACAGCGATAACAAATACATTTATCCTTCATGACCATGACATATAACATATGCATTTCAATCTCCTTTGATTTGTCGATCGAATATCTCAGAACAAATACAAATCACTGACCGTCTGTTGCGTCCAAGCCTCAAACTCTGACACGGAGCTTTCCTGTTGTTTTTGTTTTATCTACCCAGCAACGCAGGCACAGAGGGCTGTGTTTTCCTCTTCTGATTGGCTGGAGGCGTGTGGGCTTTTAAACATACAACCAATGAAAATCCAACACGGGATTTTCTTCAAGCATTTTCCGTGTTGTTTAAAAAGTGCTGCCCTCTAGATGTGGTGCTGCAGAACAGCTCTTACTATTTTGGGATATTACATCGACTGCAAAGTTCAGTGTTTTATAATGATGGCGAGGATGATATTGATGAGAAATTGAGAATTATGAGTTTTTTGGAAGTTACCAATTAAGTAACACTGGAAGAGGTTGAACCACAGCAAAGCTAGAGAAATGTAGTTTGGTTTACTATTTCAAATGACTTTAAGTAAACAGACTAAATGAGTGACAATGACAATTAAAAAAAACAAAACAATCAGGGTTGATGTTACCTTTCCAGAAAATCAAGAATATATTCAAACTAAGTTTAAAGATCTTAAGACTCACACATTTAGTTAAAGCACACAGATGGTTGTTCTGCCTCACCACTTGGAGGCACTCTTTTACAACACCTTCACTCAAGTCTTAAGCATAGCTGATTCCCAATCTTATGATGACAGTATACTATTATGCCTAAATAAATACACAATATGTTATATTCCACACAATTTATTCACGTTTTTTGCATCAAAAATCATATGAAAAGTTTGTCAAACAAAACAACACTATCATTGATGTCACAGGATCAGTATTCACAGTATACAAAAACAGAGTATGGCATGATATCCCTCTCTGAACAAGTCACGGTAAACATTGCATGATTGACTCTAATTAAACACATGGTCCAGTTTAAGGTCTCCGATATAAAGGCATTTACATATTTTGGCAAATATGACTGGGATTGTCTCATGATTTCAACTAAAAATAAAACGTCACAAATATAAATATATTATGATATAATATTTTGCAACATTATCAATCCAAATGGTTTACATTTTATTACCTTATTTACCATTACGCTATTTGTGCGCAAACTGGCACCAAGACTCTTATATAAATAAAAATGTAATGTTGTTTTCTAAGCTATACATTAAAATCTATTAAACAAATACAACAAACCTGAGAATCAGTCTTAGTTTTTTAACTGAGTAAAACATGACTTGCCACATATTTCAAGTCATTTTACAGATGTAAATGTTTAATTGTAGCTAACATTTAAACTCAGAAAATGGACTGAACATTTCCATTATTACAAATACAAACATTTTATCACACACAATCCAATAAAGTAAGCTGTAAGGAAATGAATAAACCAAATCAAATCAAATTAAATATTGTAGCCTCACTTTACATTACACATCAGGTATGTACAAATTTGAGAGCACATGTGGGGCTGGGATTGTCAGTGCCATCGAACATATTTAGACATTCCTTCTCCCAAAATATCAAAACCAGTGCAATTGTCCACTTCCTCTAGCATCCATGTGTCCCATGTGCTCTGCAACACACACACAAATCCTTCCACTGAGACGTCACTGTGTAGCGGAGGGTTCAGAAAGTAAGCCCGACAGACCGTCCTCTGCCAGCTGGGACAGGTACTTCTGTGAACCAGAGGAGAAAAAGAAAAACATTACAATCCAAAATAAATATATATAAAAAATGTGGTAATGTTTTCCCCAAATTACAACCCAGACCAAAACATCCATATAGAGGCTGCACAGGGAGGAAATATGAAAAGCAGCGTCTTGCTAAATATCAGATTTGTAGTCCGACAACCAGACAAGCTTTTTGGAAACCAGCATGTTGTATTTTACTAAACATTTTTAAAGTAAAATTAAACAGTTTATTCATCATTGCAGTCAAGAATGCTTTTTGAAAGGATTTTCCGCAAATGCAACGATGTAGTTGCACATTTTAATGTTTAAAATTAAGTATATGAATATAAAATCAGCAATCACCAGTCAGTAAAACTGCATCCGATAAGCTCGACTCAAATATCTGAGGATGGGAGCCTAGATTTATCGGAGGCGGCTTTTTTCTCATCTGTTTATTTTATTTTACTGCAGTTAAATATTTGGGTGAAAAGCTGTGCTTAATGATGTGTTGGAGTTTAAATTTAATTAATAATAATGTATACAAAAAGTTACAAATATCTGTTAATTGATATGTTAAAGATGTCTTTAGATGAGTAAAGTAAAACAAGAATCCTATGGTAAAAAAGGACCACAAATAATGTAAAACTATTTTAATAGCAGAACACAAACAGAGACTTTTGACGGACAGCACACGTGTTAAAAACATTTTTCCTCTTGGAATGTAATCCATCAAAGGTTTGAATCCCTGCTCCTCCGGCTTGCCTCAGCTGTGCCGCTGGGATGAGAAACGCAAGAAGGCTCAGTGCTGAGTAATCAGAAACTTAATACAGTTTCAAGTTTAATGTGTATGTTCTTTCGTGTGTATGTTCTATTTTCTGTGCCCATCCTAATGCATTCAAGGCCTTTCTTTTGGATTAATCCGTTCATTTTCTTTTCAATTAAGTGTTAGGCTCGTACATTTTCTTTCTTGATTTAAAGAGTTAATCAATTATCAAAACTAACATTATTAGTTTCTTTGTATATTCATTGTTTTTTGCACTGCAGTTTTTAAAACACCATACTTGATTTAAGTAAGATTTATCCCCAAAATGGGACGATCATTGGAACGAAAAGGAAAACAAATAATGTAAAATGTGCATATGCTGCATGCGTGTGAAGTAATAACTCACCAACTCAACAACAGGTGGTGTAATCTTTTGTAATCTTGTGAATTTTGCTACTAGACCACACTGACTTTGGACCACACCAGCAGTGCCCCAGTACAGTGTGGGCATACAGACTTTCATTTTTGCTGACACTAACTCCAGCTGGTATAAAAGGTGCGACAGTATATGCACAGAAAATATACAACATATCTACATAAACACAATATGCTTGCTCGTATAATTCATGGACATTTAATTCATCACCAGAGTGCAGTGTGTACCTGGAGGTTCCTGTAGTGCACGGTGCTGCGGCAGTGTGTACTCTTGGCCGTCTCCTCACTGTTATAGAACAGTTCGCAGAGCTTACAGTAGAAACCCGTCCTCGGCACAATGAACTCCACTCCTGTTAGACAACAAACACAACTATAAGCTTCGTATGACTGCATCAGCGTTTTGACATTTAAATGATATGGTTAAATAGTACTTTGCAATCGCATCATACAGGGATTCTGCAGGAAAAGTACAATTTAAGAACTTTTTAAGATTTTTAAGATCGTGGCGATTTAAATTTCATATCCATTTCTATTTTGTATACTGGCAGAAGTATATTGGAAAATTAGAAGACCTTGACAGAAAATGAATCCCGGAATTATTTAAGTACTAGAACACGTTAAATAATACAATAGTAAAATATAACCGCAATCGAAGTCTAAATCTAGTTTAATGTAAAATCTTAAGGACTGCTTGCACAGCATAAAAACACGCTTCAGGGATGTGTTTAAGTAAATTCAATGAATAAACTTAATTTACCTCGGGGTTCTGTAATCCTGCCAAGAATTTTTTTTTTTATGACCAACTTCATTATTTTTAGTTAACAGAACTATGAACTAATACAATTGTACTTGAGAGAAAATGCACATTGACAATTGAATGTAAAACTTTTTAAGGATCACGGAAACTTTGAACAATGAACAAAGACCAATTATAGTAAAAAGGAAAGGATATTAATCTCTTACTTAATACTTCATATTTACGTTCACAGATAATATTCTACTACATAAAAACTATAACATCATTTTATAGCATGTTATTTTCACTCTTTAAAAAAAAAGGCACTGTCTGAGCACCAAAGTCCATTTGAACAACACACATCTGACTGTGACAGTAAGAAAACAAAAACTAAATTGCAACAACAACAACAACAACAACCGGATGAGTCATCTTTGTTAAATTTGTCTCAGACGTGTTGTCGATGGATACAGTTTGCTCTGCACACACAAACAGAGACAGCCGCTCGTGAGTCTGTACTGCGGTCTGCTGCTGATACCCGGCTCCACGGCTTACGTAAGTCTCCATGCAGCAGGCCCAACGCTGGCCGTGTCATTCTAGCCGTAATGATAATATAAATACTCATCTCTCAGGGGTGCATTTCACAAACTGCTCACGGAAATAGGTCAGCAAGTGTCCAAGCAATTCCAATCAATTAGAGTGCTAATGCAACAGGTTGTCAGTGCACTTATTAGTGGCCTACATGATAAGACTTTATCTTTAGGACTTAAACCAAAAGACTCAATGTCAGCTACTTGTCTCTGTGACAATAAGTCAATATAGACCTGGGCGTAATCCAGCCAGAGTACTCGGAGACCTTAAACTTGATATTTCTGACAGATTAAATAAAGTCACCAAGGATTTCAAATAAAGTGCATATAGTTCTCATTTGCAGTGTATTTTTAAACATTCAAGTTCAAATCAGAGGAGTTATAAAACTTGTGCCTACCCAAAGGGATGCTGTGTTCACTGACAGCTTTGTCTTGCTCACGAGACGGCGAGGGAGCCTCAATCTCTGTAAAAGGCATATTAAATATGAGAATGGCAGGACGCACAAAACATCACAAATCAGAGAGAGATCACAGTATACAGCACCCTTTTTAACACCTAGGTTACCAGAATGCAGTTTTGGACACACAAATCCATTTGTCTTTCTTTTTCTTTAAAAACAATCTAATTTCTCATATCTCATATCTTACGTTCGATAAACTTGTCATTCACTTTTACATACAATCCTTTTTTTCATCACAGTGCTATATTTTTATCTCATCATACGTCTTATTGACATTGTATCGTTTTATGATGTGTCAATATTTGAAACTATTTCCTTTGGAAATAAAAAAGACTGGTTGCAACAATAACTCCTGTTTGGAGTATAATCTATAGTTGTGATCAAAACTGCAGCCTTGTGTGTGAACTAGAGACAACCGAAACATAAATACTTAAATGATTGATTCATTATTTGACTAACTCTCTCCTATTTAGATAGACTCTAAAAACGTAAACCATCCATTTAGGATGCCCACATCTGATCACTGGATCTCGCTTTGTTCTGCTGTAAACATTTGGCTTCTCTTATCTGAAAAGTACCTTTTTTAAGAATGCCGTCCTTGTGATGAACCCCATTATTGATTGTTTCTGGGACCTTTCCTACTTCCACGTTTTTGCCATCTTGTGATACGTAAATATGATGTTCCATCAACTCCTCTGAAGGCCCACTGCGGGTCACTTTGTCCTCTAAACATGTCTCCTCTAGGGCCGCTTTGAACTCCTCACTGGGGAAGTCACTGAGGTCAGTGACTGGTAGCTCAGGAGTCGCTGCGCTGAACATCTGCTCTTCAGGACTGCTTGCACTTATAACATTCCCTGGCTTTTTGTTAACAGATGTTTCTTCTGGGTGTCCAATATCCCTGCTAGATGTTTCCTGAACCTCCAAGGAGGAGGGGGTAGGGGGTGGTATGCACTCCTCCGCTGCTTCTTCACCCGTAGGCTCTTGGGGGCGGGATACAAACTCTTCCAGCTCGGGAAGGTCAGGCTCAACTATGAAATCATCTTCTCCTCCAACTTCATCTACAGTGACCAGTTCCTCCATGTTCTTAGGGTACCAGCAGTCTCCATCAGTATCATCTCCACTTTCCCACTCCTTCACCTTAGAGATTGGACCAAGAAAAGAGTTGTTAATACTTCTATTCCAACTGAAGTAGCATTAACCTTCAAATTGCGGCATGAAGGAGTTTGAATGTGTAATAAATCAAATCATAGATCATCACTTACAGTGTTTCTTTCTTTACTACATTCTATCGTCTCTTTTGGCATGTCGCTTTGCTGAGGTGAAAAAGATTTTTCTTTTGACTTGCGTTCCTGGAAAAATAAATGATTAAGAAGGTAGAAGGATGTGCAATGTGAAGCAGTTTTACACACAACACTCTTCCATATAGATATGATTCAAAAAGTTACTCACAGTATTTTCAGTAGCATTTTCTTTATCGTGTTTGTCTGCAGTGGTGTGCCTCCTGCTTGTCTTTTTGCCCCTGCCCCTGTCTGGTGAACCCGGCCTCTTGTCCTCTAGTGTTCTGCGAAGTGGCTCCTCAGTTATCTCAAACACAGAATGCCTCGATCTATTATGGTAGTCGCCTCCATCTCTCCTCTTGGGCTTTGTGTCGGGCCTCTGGTATGGAGGTCTAGGCGGCTTGTCTGACTTGTACATTTGTTCCTTCATGTAGATGTCATCCTCCATGTTCCTGTACGAGTTGAAAGACATGCCTTGAGGGCTGCCTCGCGGTTGCCAGTCTCTGTTGCCCCTGATCCCTTCACCTCCGCCACCTCCTCGCTCATCTGCAGATCTCGAGCTGATATGATCCAAGGGTTTCTGGTAAACCTTCCGGCGGTCGGCTGCTCGTCCACTAGGCCGATCATCATCCACGCTGCCCTCATTTCTCCATGGGTCTTCCCTTTCCCTGTCGTCCTCACCCCTTCTCAAGTGTGACGACCGATCCCAGGAACCCCGGCGGGGGCCCAGGCCATTACTGCCTCTTTCCGGACCCCGGCAGGATGCGCCCTGGGGGCTGTGGGCTGAGCTGCATGATGTAAAACTTGGGCTGTGGGAATGAGGGCTGAGGGATCGGCTGATTGGGCTGCGGGAGCGCGCTCTCTCTGGGATGTAGCTGCAAGGAGATGATGGAAAGATTACATGGAGAAATCCCATAAATCTGCATTTTGTGTTGCTATACATATATATATATTTATATATATCACACTAACTCAACTTAAGTTATAATCAGAGACATTTTCTACTCAATGATTTTGCATTTGCTCTTTTAGTGACTCCCAGTAAAAAGTATTCAAGATTAAGAGTCGAAAGAGAAGTGGCCTTACTGTTCGTGTTCTTGCATCTCATCCCTTTCCCGCTGAGAGGTGATGTCGTGGATGATTGTTTGAACATCTTTACCTGGTTTCTAAACAGAAAGGAAATTCACATTTTCACAATTTATTATTTGGCAGCCTATAACTTGCGTTAGCTGTTTACTTTGTTCATTTAGTCTTACCTTGAGTTGCAGCTCCTTGTATCTCTTAGACATTCGTATGAGAAGTTTTTGATTGTTAATCGTAGCTGGAGTAAGTTGGTAGTATTGAACCATGGCCTGAGCGGCTTCAACATATGCCATCTCAAGAAATGCCTGAAGGGAGAACAGAAAATTGCTCAAACAATATTCCATTATATAGTTTTCCCTGTACAAACCTGTTTAATATCTAGGATTTCAGACTGGATTCAAGCTAATGTTTAAAAATCATCATCACAAGTTATCACATTTCCACACTATAATAAATCACCAGAACAGTTACTTAAGTGCCTGTAACCAATACCACGATTTTAGTTTAAATATGATAGGGGTAATATTAATGACGCGGCAGCAAGAGAGTGAGCTGTCATGTTCTGGTAGTTAAACAGCCAGTAAGATATGACAACATATATGATATCACACAACAGCTGCAGAAGAAAAAAACTGTTGATAATCATAAAAATGCACATTGATACTTTGGTTATTGACAAAGATTATTTCAAATTTAAATATTTGTTCAACTATGTTTTTCTTACTCTACAGGAAAGAACTCTGTTGAAGCCCTGAGAGGTAAAACATACACATATGTATTGGTTTATATGAATAAGAAATGAACGAAGAATAATAATGTTCTTGTACCTGATGGGTGGAGCGCATGAGGATGTAGTTGGTGACTTTGCCAAAGGGTATTCCCAGGTGGATGACATCATTCTCAGTGCAGCTGCCTTCAGGGAGGTTGCAGATGTGAACGACCCGCCCTATTGTTGCCTGTATGGGTGGAAATGGCTGCAATTAATGGAACATTTATAACCATACATCACACTGATCTTTGAAAAACAATTTATTGAACATCTGAAAATAACTGTTGTTCAACTGCAGTTCATCTAATGGCCACTTATGGCTTGCTCCAAAAGCATGAAATTCCCAGTGGACCCCCATGTTAAAACGCAGTGTCTGGCTCACGTCTCTCAGTGCATGTCTGCAAACCATTTGGAGCTGAACCTGACTAGAAGACTATCAACATCAGCGTTTCTGTTGTTTCCCCGGCTCACACTGCAAGGAATCTGGATGTGACACTGGATGACCAACTGTCCTTTACTGCAAACATCGTTGCTACAACCCGCTCCTGCAGATACACTCTCTACAACATCAGAAAGATACTTTGCCTACTGACCCAGAAGGCAACGCAGGTCCTGGTCCAGGCTCTTTTCATCTCACGCCTTGATTACTGCAACTCCTGGCTGGTCTACATGCAAGTGCCATTCGACCACTGCAGCTCCTCCAGCATAAAGCAGCCAGACAGGTCTCTAATCTACCTAAGTTCTCTCATTCATACCAGCCAGTCACTGCTCTCGCATCAGGCAGTTCTACCTCACTGCAAGTAGGACGCTAGTACCCCTCCAGAAAAACACTGCTGTTTGCTATCCTGGCTTCAATATGGCCAAACAAGCTGCTCCTTGACATTAGGACGGCTGATAGTCTACATATCTTGCGCCGCAGACTGAAAACCAACCTGTTACGACTGCTCATTGGCCATTAAAAGCTGACACAAAAACTGTGTAGTATTAAAAAAAGGTTTGGAACTAATGCACCATTAACAGCCCCTGCCGGGTCTTGTCATTCCCTAGCTCCACCCTCTCAACCAAATATGGTGACTTCTTGCTCAGAAAAAACTAAACAATATGACTACATCCAACATCTCAAACTAGAGGCTTCAAAACAGGAGCCCAAAACCCAATGGGTGACCACAGTGACCAAATCCACTTCTTAATATGGATAACACTTTACAGTAAAAAAAAAAAGTATACATATAAAATTGTATATGTGATCTCTTAACAATCTTTGTAGCACATCAGAATTATCAGACTGTAAGAAATAAATCTGTCTAACATCAATGTAACACTATCAGACAGTATGTCATGTCATTTTCCCTCCTTGATGCAACCCATCTCATTCCATCTATTAATAATTCCTTGGCAGTAGTGCAGTGGCGATAATGGAAGTCTACTTGTTTGGATTTAGAGACTTGTCAGCTGACAGGCCCCAGACATTTCACACATTTGATACAAATCCCTCATGGCTGCCAACTATAGCGACCTGCATAGCTTTTTAACTTAAAGGAGAGTGACTAAATGAGATGGCAAAACTGATACAGACCCATTTGGATATAGATGTTATATCACTATTTATGCCTTATTATTTACTCTTAAAGGTGGGGTAGGTACTGTAATTTTGGAGAAACCAGCTCGAGTGCGCCAGAATTTGAAAATACACAGCCGGAAAAAATCTGCCACTTCCTAGCCCCTCCTCCAACACACATGAACGCGCACATGACCAATGAGGGCACGAGATAAGTTTGTGCACAGATGGAAGGCTGACAGGCAGGTAGGCCATCCAATCATTTTAGCCGGGCCGGCTAAAATGATTGGTCGTGCTTTTTACAGTATTACGGCTTCCACAGATTACATTTTGTTATGGATTTTTTGTCAAAGCACTCAAACTTACCTACCCCACCTTAAAGCTATATTTTTTTATATTCTATAAGGCAGACAATGTTAAGATTTTATAGTCTTGCTTTCCTTATGTACGAAAATCTTATTAAGGTAATAGATAATGTAGAGAACTACATGGCAGGGACTGTGGATGTTGTGGAGAGGAAGACTGAGGTCCATCATGCATTGTAAGCATGCTAATAGTGGTTGTTTCACCGCTCCTATTAGTTTTGCTAGATCATTTACCTACAAAATTACTAACTTTAAAAATGAAAAGACAAGTACCACCTACTGATATAAAATCTCTATCTTTATTTATCATCTAGCCGGTGCACATACCGCTTGACACCTCGTGTTCCTCTAACATCATAGCTATAAGAGGTTGTAAATTCAGCCTGTCATGTCTAGGAGTCTGATTTCTGCAACCATTGTGCTGCAACTGCAAGTTTTGCAGTGCCCCTCCTCCTCCTCCGCTTCCTGCTTCTCCAGCTCACAGACCTGACAGACAGTTCCATGTGTGTGACAGACTGGGGTCCTAACTCGGACCAGCGACCAAAGTCTCTGTTTTTACAGGGAACTTGTTCAGGGAAAACCCAACACCAACATAAACTTCACACTGGGTCCAATGGCTGTAAAGTGTAGAATGTATAAAGGGGAGGAGAAGTCACTTTACTATGCATGTTGAAACATAATCAGTGTGTCAGTATTCAAAACATACATGAAGCGCTGATCACATATAGTCTATAAATAAAATGTGATTTTATCTGAGAGAAACCTGATAACTGAGTACTCCGACTTTTATTTAAAAGGTTACTTTTGTCACAAGTAGGAAACCATACCCATGTGTTTTGGACGTCCCCTTAACTAAGAACGTTTTGGGATAAAGAGTTTGAGGCCCATAATTAAGTGTTCCTCCAACATGTCACACTAAGGTGGCACTACTAGGAGTCATAACATAGGGCTTCGAGGTAACAGCTAGGAAATATCTTTTGCAAATATTGCTTTTGCTAAGTGGCTTAACCCAGACAATACAATTTTTGGACTGAAAAGGTGTGGAAAATCTATCAGATGGAACAAATGTTCAGATTCTCTGAGTGATTTTTTTAGTCCTGCAATTACTGTGCTGATCCAGTAAGTTGGTTTCACCACACCTTCTGAACTATTCCAGTGTCTCAACTTCCCAATCGAGGTGTATCTGGCGGCAGTGGCCTGCACATTCACACACTTACATATGGGAGTATTATCTGTATTCTTTCCTTTAATGTTATCTTTCTTTGTATCGGCTTTGTGGATACAGCTGAATGGAAATGGAAAAAATAGTTGACAAAAGATTGAATATGTTCTCGAATAGAACTGTAACTGAAATAAAAACGTTAAAACGTTTAAATAAAAAATACTTTTAGCTCATGACACAATACTACACATTTGATAGTCTTGATTTTGGAAAGTTCTCTTTTTTTTACATAAATCATGAAAAGCCATATTGCCATTCAACCCTAATACGACCCGATCAAAAGAGGATCTGGAAGAGCCAGATAATTGAATTACTGAGCCACAAATGAATAGCTTCTGGCCAGCGAGCTGACATCAGCAGCTTCAGATGATGAGAGTGATAATTCCATTAGCAGCTCTGTGCCACGACCAAGAACACACAAAGGTCAGTGCAGGTTGGGCTCAATAAACACACCCAGAAATAGGCTGTTTATGTCTTTTGAATATTAGAGAGAATAAGAGGCTCTCTGACAGCACTCACTTATGTCTGACCTGTAAAATGTCGTCTGTGTCTGAAAGCTCAGACAGTTTGAACACAGTCAAGGTTGGCTCATGCGTAGAACGGTAGCGGTTTCAGTTAACAGAGGCCGAGGGCTATGCCATGTCACTGCCTACTCTGACGGAGACACTACACACTCTGCAGGGGACTCTATAAATGGTTTAAATTGCAGTATAGACTTTCAACATTATTTAACATTAAATAAATAAAATTAATGACATTTTTGGTTGAAACACCTTATCAAAACAATATCACATCTTTAGGCCTTAATTCACACATACAAAACAGGTTATAAACTAAAATTCCCTAAAAACATTAAAGAACACTGCTACAGATATAAATAAATAAGAGTAAACATAGTCAGTCATACTGAGGCCAATTTGCCAAGTCAGCTCTACAATAAATATATTTTAATCGAGCTTAAATTCTGAAGTTAAAGGTAGGGTAGGTAAGAATGGAGAAACCAGCTCGAGTGCGCTCGAATTTGAAAGTACACAACCGGAAAAAATCTGCCCCTTCCTTACAGAGCCCCTCCTCCAACACACACGAACGCGCACATGACCAATGAGGGCACGAGATAAGTTTGTGCACAGATGGAAGGCTGACAGGCAGGTAGGCCATCCAGTTATTTTAGCCGGGCCGGCTAAGATGATTGGTCGTGCTTTTTACAGTACCACGGCTTCCACAGATGACATTTTTGTATGTATTTATTGTCAAAGCATTTAATATATTCAATGCTATCGGGATGTTAAGAGCATTCCATGGAATATAACAAAAAGTGTTTCTGAAGTAAATTACCTACCCTACATTTAAAGTGGCAAAAAAAACATTTTTCTTAAAAGTGATTGTAAAGTCAATATTGAATGCACAATGCAATAGTTGTTAAATAATGACACCATAATCATTTAGTTTGGTTCCCTGCATACTTCTTAATAATACTGGGAGTGTTTAACTATATTTCTCAATGAACATGGATTGTTAAGGTTGTTACTTGCTTTGGACAGTAGTCAGGTTTATTATAAGCTGCACCCACAAGACTCGTAATGGGAGCCAATCTGCACCGCCTGACCCACAGAAAATACAGGATCCGACCCGTAATTCATCAACATTAAGCATTTCAGTGCAATTGTGATATTTGGACTGAGTTGAAAAGTTTTCTGTTTCTACTTTAACATTGAGTGAAGTATAGCTTGTTCATTTAACAAATTAGCTTCATCACACATTTACATTTTTACATTTGAGTTGTCATTGTAAAAATCCATGAAATTTTACTTTTTCGTATTTCTGCAGAAATCTACTTTACACTACAGTCAATAGAGGTGAAGCTCTCAACACCATGACATACTGAACTAGAGCTAAATGGTGTAAGATAACGACCATATCGCACTGCACTGCTTTACTCCTTACACTGACAGCATGTTGACTGACATTAGCTGGAATCTCTACTAAAGACATGTTTGTTTATTTGTACAAAGGAAGATCCATGTTGGAGGATCCAGGGAGATAGTCAGTCTGGTTTCACAGTTTCTCCCCACGTTCCTGTGCGAGCTGCTCGCACGCCAATCCCTCAGATCGCTTTACTAGTCTCTCACCAGTCTGAAATGTTACACCGCTGCCTGGGGGTGTGACCCATGGGTCTTAAGGTCTGTGCTCCTCACAGCAGTTAGCTCTAATCCCTTGTTTATCTCAGCTTGAGTTCCCTTATCACGTGAAGCTACTGTGTTATTTCAAGGTGGGATGCTGGAAACTCCAGTCGTGGGCTGTTGTGCATCTGGTATGTTTGTATGGGCGAGCTTCTCTGTACAGGATGTAGACTCTGGTAGTATCGTTAGATCACAGATAACCTATTGATTATTTTCAATTAAAAGTTTGGAGTCTTAAGTTTTGAATATCCAAACATACACGTATTAAACCTCTGAAAAAACGTCACAAATTAAAACTGCATGTGGTTGTGTGTGTGCATTTGTGCTCTGAGTTCACCACAGGGTTTAAAGCCAGTAAATCCCCACCTGTTCTGCTTCGACAGGTGTGTGTTTATAGCAACCAACATTAGCTCATGTACTGTAGCACAGCCTTCACATATTTCCCCACTCATACAATAAAAACCCTTTGTTATTAACCAACCTTTGAGGCATATGACTTTCACACTACTGATATTAGGCTCTTTTTAAATTGGCTCCCCGGACAATGAAGAGAAGAACAAATGGCTGACCCAAAATAAAAGTCATGCCCGTTTGTGGGAACGGGAGAGGGGGTTTTGACAGTGGAAGAGACCCACTTTAACAACATGCAATTCCGTATTCTCAGATATCCCTTAGTGCCTGAGTATTTTAATAATTGTCTTTACTATAATTATTTTTTACTATAAACTACTATCTTTTTATTTTAGTTTCTTATGTCATATGTACAAATGCATGTAATATGTATGTACAATATTTGTATGCCTTTTACATTTCTGAGAAAATCCCAAAATGTGTCCAAAGACACCATATACATCAGGTTGAAATATACATTGGAAATCATGTGAAAATGTTAGGAAATATTAATTAATTTGAATTATTTGTAATGCAACATTAAAATTGCCCAAATTGTTTATACTGTGACTTTATTAAAAATGGAATTACTTTTGTAAGGGTTGCTATATATTTTCAAGAAGTTCCGAAAAAACCATAATGTACATTGACTACACTGTGTATCTGTGTTAAATATAACACGAATCCCCGCTGACAGAGCTCATTTTCACCTCGCTTATTATCTGCACTGTACTTTCCAAGAGACCTGCCTTTGTGATGGTTGCCTATGAACAGCTGCTGGTTTTCAACCCCAGTCGAGAGCCAACACTTTTGGCCAGGAAAACTGAGTGTAGCGCATCAAGTGCTGGTATATAAACTCTAAGAAATACTGATATTTATTATAAGCCAAAGTCAAGTTGAGGCGATACCATATCTTCCTCTAAAGCAAGCTTTTATTTCATATATGTAATATATCATGGGCTAGATAATCGTACATTTCCGTACATAGTTTCCAGCCACCATTTTAATGACACACTTTACCGGGCTATAGAGTTGTCAAGCCCAGACAAAGCCTTCTGTTGCCCCAGCAGCTGTCAACAAGAGGATCTGTGTCAATTCATTAAGCAAAAACCTTCTGGTTTCATTCATCACACACCTTATACACCATTTAAAGTATTTTAAAAAACATGGAAGAGCGTAATCGTAATCAGCGATGAAGAGATAGTAACATATAGTATTACTCAGCACAACCCCCCCTCCCTCCCTGATGTGTTATAAACGCAGTCATTAATTTTAAGTGAAATATTAATCATTAATCATTTTGAACATTTCCATGAAACATGATATAATTGGATGTGACTGGATTCGTGTTCAAGGATTACAGCTGTTCCTTATTTTTTCCTGTCACAAAATTTGATTTATATGTCTAGGGCAAACTCTAATAATCCTGCAAAAATAACATAGTTTGTCTGACCTTTGACTCTGGCTGATGCGAGGAAAATCCTGTGTCTGACGTGGGATAAGTCTTCATGGCTGCAGCAGGCAAGTATGATGCATTAGCTCCAGTGGATACATCTGTGGAAACCATTAAATTCAAAATTGTCTGCATCAGTCATCAAGTGCTCGATAAAGTTACATTTGTTGACTTCAATTCTTAACCGAAACAAGAATAAAAATAAAGTTACATTTGTACCAGTAACTATAGGTTATCTGAGTGAAGAGACAAACTCCAACTAAAGGCTTCGCAAAAAGTTAGGCATCTCTTCAAGCTGTTTGCAGCCAACTATAGGTAGTTTGTCTTAAAGTAATTATACATAAGGGAATACATGAGGGCTATAGGGTTGACAGATGCTATCAATATGGTAGAGAACAGGTGCTCAATATGCACTACACATTAGTCATCAGCTTTGTGTTTTCTGTTTTAATATGTTAACCAAAAGGCAGTAACCCTCAAAAGCATATTAAGATTTGGCTTAGTGTTGCTGTGTACCATATATTTTTGGATACTCTAACAGCATACATCAATGTGCGAAAATACACTGTGTCAAGTAATAAAAACATGCCGCCTCACGTAACTCTAGAAATACTCCCTGACCACCTATCACTCACGTGTTTTAGCAAACAGAAAAACATTACTAACACTGAGAGCAAAAAGAGAAACATGTGGTGACAAATATTTTATCCTACCTTGACTTGCAGAGGAGTAAACCATTGAGTTCGTCCCTCCAGCGTTCAGACCGCCATCAGAAGGCCTACCGACAGAGTAGTGAACAGCTCCAGCTGATACCACTGCGGAGCTGCAACAATCAGAGAAGGCTGATTTTAGCTGCCTCTCCCCTGCGCACTCATATCTTATGACAGAGCTCATATTCATAGAAAGATTAAGACTGCTACATATAGATCAAGGAAAAGCAAGATAAAATCCTTTCAACACTTGCTAAAACAAACACATTTAAACACGGGCAAGGGGGGAAATGAAAAAAACATGGCCATGGATAACAATTAAAAACATGTTCACGTATTATTATCTTGACGAAAAAAAACAATGTGAAGTCATTTGCTTTGAGATTATTTTACAACATTTTGCAATTACAACCAAAAACGCACCTTTCATTTGCGTACAAGGTTCGGTTCTGTAGGTGTAGTTTTCCCTTCACGTGCTGGTCCCAGTCCTAAAAAATACACGCACACACACATCATATAAACAAAGTCTCAGAAAGCTTGGACAAACTGGAAGCTCGCTGCTTGGCCTACGATGGTGGCTCTTACATACCCTGTTGTATTGATTATTGTATTTTATTTGTTTAATTATTTCTCTGTACAGCATTTTGGTCTGGAGGTTTAAAAGTGCTTTACAAATAAAGCTGAATTGTATTGTAATTATAGAGACAACATCTTGGATTTACTTACTTAGTAAACCTCTAATCAACCATTTAGCTGTGGTATATTAGATATGTTCAGGCTGAAATGCTAGTTTCTTTCAAAGGACATTTACCATTTACAGTTATGTTTACAAATCAACCAAATCCTCATTAATTTACGTTCAAGCATTGACATGTCTATTGATTAGATTAGATTAGATTACTTTATTGTCATTACAAGTGTAATGAAATTAAGAGGGTCTAACCAGAGTGCAAACAGTCAGTTATATACACATCTATCAGCAGTCTGTACAAAATAAATGCACTATATAAATATACAAGTAAAGGTATATAGATGTAAAATGTATAAATACAAATAAATACACTGAGGCGTAAATACAGTATATACATCAGTATATGTGCTTCAAGTATGATGGGTCCACTCACCTTGAGGTTGTAGACCTTCTTGTCACAGATGCTACACTGGTGTGGCAGTTGAGTGGGTGTGGCGGCATGGTAATCATTGACTTGGTAAGGCTGAAGTGTCCTGGTACCTGAAGATAGGGTTGCATCACTTCCATGCAGGGGTTGGTAGCCCCCAAATCCCTGTGTGCCACTTGAAGAAAAAGAGGAAACTCCACTAATGTGATTGAACTTGGGGTCAGGGGTGGGCTCCTCTGGGTTATACAGTTCTGTTCTGGACCGAATTGGCTGCCCAGCTGCTGTCCACATGTTGGCGGCATTAGAAACCATATCCACCTTTCCAGTGTGACTCAAGTTAGCCGGGCCCTTCCATTGCTCCTTGGAGTTATAAACATTCACCTTCTGGTCATTGACACTAAACCCAGCTTGTTGCCCCAGCATATCATGCCCATAGAAATCTCTCTGAAAACCAACATTGCTCATGTTTTTTGCCTGTGTGTTGATCATTGTGTATTGTCCATCACCAGCAGTGGCTGATGCTGTAGATGTCCCTCCACCTAAGTTGTACTGAATACGCCGGTCAGTATCAGAAGGGTAAGTTGAGCCTGACGTTTTACCATACTCCGCACCCTGTTGGCCCACTGTTCCCCCTCCACCAGGATGGTTCAGTCTCACATTTCCTGGGTTTTGGTTGAATCCCCCACCCACCAAGGCCCCCAAGCTTGAATTTGAAGAGGAAAAACCTAGCACCCCTGTCGGAAAGCCACCCTGAGGGTTTCCAACCATACTTGAAGTCCGTAGCTGATTGAACAGGGGTTGGGACATGGCGACATTGGAAAGAACCTGATTGAGAAGAGTAGCTGCATTGGCTGAATTACCCCCCTGAGCAAGTTTCAGGCGATGGAGGGTAAGCTGAGCTTGGAGCTGAGCAAGCTGGAGGCTGGCTGGTGTCAGGAGGAGCTGCTGGTTCTGCTGGTGTGGCCCCGAATGCACACCGCCGGCCCCTACCTGGAAACTCTTCTTTTCGCCGCTGTCCAAGGGCAGTGCATTGATGCTTTGAGAAAAAGAAAAAAAAGAAATCACAATTCACTCAATTAGTTATAAAGTCAGAAAACAGATGAAAATTGTGACTCCAAATGAATGACACATTGAGCACAAACATGCTCTTCAATTGTAAATCAAACCATATGGCTTCTCTTCATTCTCAGTATAGATGAAATGCAGATTAAGTGTGCAACTCAAGTTTGATATACCGAGCTAGTTGCATGAATCCAAACAATTCAAACTGGAGAATAAAAATGAGTGCAGAAACAATGTCAGCAGGAACCGATGGGACCAAGGTATTTGGGGCTAACAATGAAATACAAGCCATTTAATAACAGTCCTTTGAAAGGCCGCGAGAAACAAGAGAGGCAGCCAGTAACCCTCGAAGAAAACCCCATAGCTGCTTTCACCACAAAGCTATCCCCCTAATTTATGCTGAGGAAAGAAAACAGATTATATCATGTAAAGTCAACAGCAAATTGTAAAAATAATAATAAATCATTGTTATGCTTTCAGCTAAATCAATACAGTTTTAAATCATTAAACTATTTGAATACCGTCATTGACTCCTAATGTCAGACTACTTTCATTCATCTTTGAACTACAGAAGAAAATATATATTACTGGAGACAATTTCCCAGTAAAATGCTTCCCTATTCTTCCTGACATTAGCTGCAAGAAAGTTCCTGCTCCCCATATTCACAATTATGTTCCTCACAGCTACCATCTGCTAACAAGGCAACTCCTACAGGAGATCAACCAGCAGATGGACTGGCAGTTGGGCACAACCATCAGATGGCTGTTAGTGCTAGGACAAACCAAGGAAATGATCAGTGCCAAGAGGTATTACACAGCTGGTTGCTGTTTTCTAACCTTACAATGTGTTGGTTCATAACTAGCAAATGTATTTTCCTTTGGTTGTATGGCTGACAACGGTGCCTAGGAAAGATGGTTATGTCAGCTGGTTAGCAGAGCAAATGTTCATTAATACTACTTGCAGTGGGCCAAGAACATTTTATATTTCATATTTTAATAATTCCTCTTTATGTAAACAACCGCTGCCAACGAGCTAGTTAGTTAGCCTCTGTTCACAGTGTGAGGATTACATGCTGACAGTAAGAAGGCCATTGATGGCAACTTGGTAATATATGCAAGCAGAAGAACCTGGGACGGTGGTTTAATTATACAAAACCGGCTTCCAAACCCCAGTCTACCTTATGGTTTCACAGATATGATTGTTTATTTCACACTTCAACTTTTGTTACAATGATTTTGTCATGTGTCTGGTTTTATACCTTTTGTAAAAAAGAAAAGTGGTAATATTGTATGTATGTGAGCAATGTCTGCATGACCTTTTTATGAGAGATTGTATCTCAATTGTTTGATAATGTTAAATAAAGCTTAAATACAAACAAAACATTCAGTCAATTGCAATACAAACATAAGCTAGTGGGAATTAACTTTTATTTTGCTAAATCTGCAACAGTTATTACTACTTTTACTCGGGAAGTCTACCCATAATATCAAATACATCTTCATTTATTCATTATACGTAACACAACATTGCAAAAGGATAACACAAGGCCAATTCTTGTAGTTCAAATATAATTTAAATTCATTAAATCAGAATATATAATAATCAGAAGGATAGCTGCCCAGGTGCCTTCCTACAACACAAACTGCTAATAAAACCACTAAAACCATATCGCCCACTGGTGCTGTGACCCTGTTTGACTGGCCTATCCCTTTCTGATGAATGCTCTCCTCTCACATGCTGTCTAAACTTAGTCGACTTAACTATTCACATTATCACATTATCTATATAAGCATTTGACACTGCTCTATCTAGAAACTCCTTCTACCAACCGTCAGCAGTGAAGTTGTGCATGCAGGGATACCGATGTACATGTACTGAATTATGGTGTGTGTGATAATGTTTACACACATTCTTCTTTAAAGGTTGTACTGCACATGCAGGGAAATGGCTTATAAAACAGGTTGTGGCAGTACTTTTAAGTACAAAAAAAGTTCATGGGACATTTTAACATGAAATTATGCAACTGAATCTTGTGGAGGATTATCACCTCCATGTCTGTGTTCCTCCTGGCTTATGTAGTTGGGATGCGGTCATGCGATTACATTGCCACATCATAAACTCATCATATTACAACCATGACTTATACTCTAAGCTATACAGATCTATAAACTCTGACGCTGTAGACATATGGCCCCCAAATCCCACCCTGGAGATTAAATATAAAAAATGCAAGAATGTTTAGAAAGCGGAAAAACGTAACGCTGAAACTGCGGGTTTTTAGCAATTCTAAAACCTCAGTAGAAGCAAATGAACCAAAATTCATTAGAATACAACTGATAATGGATCAGCTTTACATCAAACATGTTTTCTTTAGAATAATATCTCTTTGCCTTTAGCATACTTGAACCATTTAAAAGTTATACCTCATATTTATTCATTCTATCAACTACTGTATGAAAGAGACTGGAAGTCAGGCCGCTCACCACTTTAAACTTAAACAAAGCTTATTGCGCTTTGAAAAGTCTGACATCCTTCAATTTAAAATAACAGAACAGCTCTGTTCTGGACCGAATTGGCTGCCCAGCTGCTGTCCACGTGTTGGCGGCATAAGAAACCAATAAAGGTTATTGAGAGTTTTACCTAATTATAACATATTAATCTTCAAGGGCAACATTGGATATTACATTCACTGAAGCTGCTGTATTCATATCAAATCTTACACTCTTATTTATCTGAAAACATTTTAAAACCATTTTATAACTTTCATGTAGTGTTGCTCAACAAATTCCACACATGGAAGATAACATTGTTTTTAACATCACAATAAGGGCAACATTATTCAATTAAATTGTCACCAAAAACTAAAAAGCTATTCAAGGTACTGATGTTGGAGTTTTTAACAATCAGTTTGCTAGGTTTGCACTTCTTCCTCTTGAGCACTTGCTGAACATTTTTGGCAATGTTGTATACAATAAAAGTTATATTATTATACATTTTTAGAACAACTTTAGTCAAACTAATTTGCAATAAGATAAAGGGATCACATACTATAGGTGTTTTTGCTTGGTTTAGGTTAACATACAAAACAAAAACATAAATACACATTACAATTGCATCCCACATTCGAAGGAGTTACTTCATTTAATTTCATTTCATTTCAAACCTTTATTTATCCAGGTGTATCCCATTGAGATCATTGATCTCTTTTTCAAGGGAGACCTGCTCAAGTAGGTTCCACATGAAACATAAAAACATAAACAGAACAACAAAAAGGACATCATACAGCATCATTACACATGTAATTAAGATTATTGACTCACTTTTGACAATTGACAGTTCCAAGTTTCACAGCTGATTGTACACACTCTTAAGTGAGTAAGCATGCTGATGGACAGATACACTTACACCATTCCAGCTTATGACTCAGAGCTATAAATACAGGAGTTGTCCTTTGCCTTCCTGACACACACTGTCCTTAATAGACTAATAAGGACTCTTGGGCTACTGGCACACTGTACGAAACACTTCAGACCTATCTTGTGATGAAGATAGACACAAGAAGTGTCAAGGTGGATGGCGAGAAAGAAGCCTGCTAATGAAATCATTGAGTGAATTAGTGAAACTGTGTCTTACTATGATTAAATCTTATTTTGCAAATGTCCACACGACCTGGAGACATTCCTTCTAAAACTGCAGTGGAATTTAACTCTTTGAAAGAACATAATAAACCTTGTGTTAATAACATTACATTATACAGTATACACTGAAATAGTTGCTCTTGGTGGAAAATGACAAATTGATCAACTCAAGCGATTATGTCATTGGTAAAACCAAAAACAAGGAGCATCGTTTGGTGTCTGCAGAGAAGTAACATGTCATTTAGGCATCATCTACTTTTTTTTGAACATACATTCAACTGGGGAAAAAATTGCTTTTGAAAAATGTAATGAAAGATGTGTCATTTATTGAGCAACCCAGACAGTTTACTTTCAATAATATTGAACACATCTTTTTAAAATCTTGCGGAAAATATCCAATTCAACAAAACTCCAAGTTGTACCAGAGAGTTCACATTGTAATATATGAGTGTGTAAGTTCCCAATTTGTTTCAGTTACACTTTTGTATTGTTGCATCACAAAGGAAAACTATTAAATATGTAACATTATGTACGAGATAAGAATATGCAGATCTTATTTATAGCTGTGATGTTTAATACCAGTCTGTTTTTCATGTGTAACTATTGCCGTGGTTTTCTGGAATGAAAAATCCTCTTACCGTCAAGGCCATGTCACAGCAGAGTTAGCTCATTTTAAGAATAGCTTCATGTGGTCATTAAAAGTCTCCTGCACTTTAATGACTATCAATTGGTTCAATACAAATGGTACCAATTGATAGTAAAATGTACACTATCCACTTTAAAATAGTGAGTGGTAGAATTTGCGTAATTTGTTAATCATCTGTAGGTTTCAGATTACAGCTAACAATGTATAAACCTGCAGCTTCTGAGGTTCAGAAAAGAAAATACTATAGGTCAAGTCAAGTCATATTTTCCATAGATTAATCTATCTTAGTTTCAAACAAGAATGTACATCTGTCCATTTGAGGGGAGTGACATTTTATGTTCTTTATGATTGGTCTAATTTTATTTTACCCAGTACAGACAAGCAATGTGACTTCTGCTCTTGCTAAATCTGCCTGTTCAAACTTGTTTTCTTTTTCTTTGACCAAGTATTTACTACAAGAACATTGTAAATTGTAAATGTTTACATTGCTTTGATAATATGTCAGCTCCTGCATTTTAACTCAACTGTTCAGTGTAGGTCTAGTGATACATTTATGCAAACCCAATTATAATGTAACTTTCAATACATTTAAATAATTTAAATATCATAAAGAAACGGCTGCAATATTTTTGAATTACTCCTAACTCCAGTCTGCTCCCGAGAAGCAGTTTTGTCATCCAAAACCAAGT